AAACTCCAAAAGGCCAATTCTAAAGGCCACTTAGTGGCAACCAGACAGAAGAAGCAACTCCCGAAAAACGGAGTGAGAGAAGTCGAGAAGCTTCCGGAGTTCGAGGCTTCAGTGCTGGCACTTCTGCCGGGCGACGGTGGGGCGGGCCGACGCTTCGCTGCGGAGAGCGGGTCGGCGCAGGTCCCAGAGGCCCGCGGTATGAGGAGCCGCAGTGGGCAGGCGAGCAGTGGAGGGATGGTGGAGATCGGTGTCAGAAGTGGCTTCCAAAAGGGTGGGTTCCAAAGGAGAACAGTACTGATTTTTGTGTTACCAGTTTTGGGGATCTTGCACCAATTTGATTTGTGCATCTCATTCTTGTGCTGTTCCGAAGCCTTGCGAAGAATCACGCTGGGAATCACCACGAGACGCAGTGGATTGCGGTGTTCTGCAACTGACAGTTTTAGAGGAGTCTCAGTCCTAACCACTGTTGGGGCACCCTTGCCAGGGAGCCCACTCATTCTTTCAGATCCCCTCTTAAGGCACCCCTTTGTCACTAATGAGGTGTGTGTTTGGATTGGCCATTTGTTAAATAGGCAAGTTTGTCCCTCTCGTCAAAGATCACTGGCATGTTCAGGATGAGAACTAACAGTTATAACTATTTTATGTTGTTCTACATTTGTTGGCGGTTCATATAGTCTTTGTATGTTTTTGTGCTATGACACGTCCTCTCAAGTGGGGTTCTAGTTCCCGAACATGGCTCAAACAACCTGCATGTATGAAGGGTGTGTGTTGGAGGTAGCTCGTCCCGCTGTGTTTGAACAAGCGTTTGGACCATCATTGCCTTCCAGCCTCACATACAGCGGCCGTATCATGCTTTCGGCTGCCGAACACGTTCCCTCTGAAACCGAAGCTCTTCAGCTCCGCTGGGCGCTGAAGGTTCAGGGCCCGGCTACAGGTGGGACCGGACGATGGATTTCTTCGGCACGAACAGCACATGCGAGAGAAGCGAGGTCTGTGTTTTTGGGGCGCGTTGACGAAACGGAAGCGAGTGTCACTGGTCCGAAAAACCCTTGGCCTTAAGCTTGCTGATCAGATTTCTTTGGGGGGACGGACTCTTGTGTCTTTGTTGTTTTTCACTTCTCTGGGCACCTCACCCAGAATTCATGAATGAGATTCTAATCGATGTAGAGACGTGCACGAGAGCTTGGGGTGGGTGGGAGGAAGCTTGGCCTAGCGGTCTGAAGCTGTAAGGCCTAGGCTTCTCGTCACATGGTGGTTCACTCGTGCATTTACAGGTCCAAGAGTGCCGAGGCATCGAGACACTCACGGACAGGGCGTCCGTTGGCTGGTTGAAGAGACCTGCTGCCGTTCACCCTGGTAACCGTGGTCCGGAACCGGTGCAGAAGCCGTATGGTGTCAATGGCCCCTTCCAGGCCATTCGTGCCAAAGGCCCCACTTGAGGAACGCAGGCGTGGGCCGGAACTCGTTCACGCGGTCGGTGTGCTTTGAAGTTTGTTTTGTTGCGTTTGTTTTTAGGTGTCATCCGGTTCTTGAAATGGAACAGCCAAGAGACTGACATTGGTCTCAGCCAGCCGTTGATCGCCGTTCATCTCTCCCAAGTGTTCACCGGTTCGACATTTTTCGACCGGATCAGTTCAAACACCAGGGAGACAGGTCATCTTGGGGAGCGATAAAACGAAAGGCACACGGTGACAGAAGTAGGGCAGGGGGCACACGGTGACTAGGGTTATCGTTGTTGCATTTAGTTGCTAACATTGCTGACTCACAGAGTATAGGACTGTTGTTGCTGAGATTGCTATCGCATCATAGTCTTTTGATGTCTTTTGATTGGAGCACCCGGTGAAACACACCTGCTCATCGAGCCGATTTCCTTCTTCGATGGTGGACACGCCAGTTCTGCGTTTGGCTCAGCTGTTGCGTTTTTTCGGTGCCTCCACAGCACTACCCGCTGCATCGCGTTGAAGTCCATGGGCGCGGGTGCCACAGCTTTGCGAAATGCAAGCCCTGCTGATGTCAAGATGGCACTGCAGTCTCTTCCCAAGGCGAGGATGCCACGGAACCGGAGGGTGCCATCCTTCGGGCAAGAAGGCGGTCCAGGTCGAACCAGACACGGAGTCTGAGTGTTTCTGTTCAGTTGGGGCAGGTACAGCAGTTGCGGAGTCTTCGTTGCGGGTGTTACGGATGGAACATAGACCAGCTGCGGTGTCTTCTGCATTCATCCCTCAAAAAAGGCAGGCACACTGGCAACAGGACATGGGCATACCTGTGTGACCGGTGTGAGGAAGAGAATGGCAAGTTGAAAGAGGCCTTTGACATCCTTTCCCGCCGACCTTTGGGAGTGTCTTGGAAAACGGAATTCGATGGCCATTCCAACCGACGGAAGGAGCAGTTGGGCAAGGGGAGGAGCGGGGTTGGGCGATGGCGATGCTAGTGAATCGCCACGGCGGCCCATCCTGTGATGCGCTTGACGAGTCAATCTCTCGGGAGTTCCCGAAGCCGAAAAAAGGATCCAAATGTGTTTAAACTGTGTTCGAAGAGTGTGTCGAAAGAATAATCACCATTATGACCGACCCAACAAACTTTACAACAAGAGATAACAAGAGGCCGCCAACACAATTAATTCATATGAAGAACCTATAAAGACATACATCAGAATACAAAGTAAGCCAACAGCACTTTCATCAAATCCTGAAAATTCTCATTCATGACCCACGCTTCCAAACACCCCTACTTCACCCAAACATTGTATCAATACGTTGCCACATGTCATTGTGTGCACCACCCTTGCTATAATGTGCCCCTTCCCTCCCCTTTGGGCCCTTGTTTTACCTCGACGGTGGGGTGCTCCACACGTCGAACTGACTGGCCGGCCTCAGCTTTGAGGTGCAGCAGATGTGCACGCAGCACGAGAGCTTCCACTTCGATGCGAGCGCAGCCGTTCCCAAGAAGGCGAGGGAGAAGGGGCGCAGCCAAGGGAGGGGCGAGTGATGAGAAGGGGCACGGGACTCGGACAGTTTTTTTTCCCCGTTTTGTTCGTGTTTTCTTCCTGTATTTATTTTTGTTGTGTGTGTTGGGGGGGGGTGAAGGAAACTTGGAAACTGAATGAAACTGAGTCAAAAGATCGGCTGTGAAGACCACCATGGTACCATATTCCCAGGGGATCCCAAACACATGATGAGAAGGTGATTGCAATGTGAACCACATCCTGGAGGGATCCAATTATGTTGCAGGCCCCGCGACCATGCTCACAAAATGGGTGACTTTTAACGGACACAACCCTGTCACTCACTCCACTTCCGTGCCTGATTCAGCAGCTCCAAGAAAAGGAATATACCAAGGAACAAAGTGAACACATGATTTTAAGACAACATTTGGAGGTAACGTTGTTTACAGGCTCTCCTTCCCAGTCCCAAGACCTTTTTCAAGTTCTTCCCACACCGATAGCACTGTACAATCACTATTGCACATAGTCTCTAATTAGAGTCGTCGACACTAGGATTCGCCATCATCATCCGCAAGATTGTAGTGGCCCTTTTGCCTACAGTTTGCCCCAGTCAGGGCAGCAAAACTAGTTTTGGACAAGGTTGCACCAGGTCAACCCAAAGATGAAAACACCATAGAAGACATAAAGGTATAGGAACTCTGTAAATCATTGCCATATCCAAAGCCAAGTTACCCAACAAAGAAGCGCTTGAGTGCCACATACTCAAGATTGGCATTGGAGCCAGCACTGCAGATTGCCGAAACCTTTCCAATGAAGTCCTCTGGGTGGTATCCCTGATAGAACCGGTGGTTGATACCTGCAAGTTCACTCACCACACTTCTAAGAACAATAGCCAAACACAAATTATAAATGAAAATTCCTGGGGGAAACCAAACAGTTGATCTCTCACAAGCATAGTTGCGATCTTCCTTTTGGCTCTGGGCGATCTCTTGGAATGCCTTACATGGCCCGCACAATTAATCTTCCTTTCAGTTTTTCTATAGAAGGAATAAGTTAGGGGGCGTCTTCAATAGAAAAAGTAGTCATATATGAAAGCTAGACACATGGAGTTTTGGCCGGATGGGAAACAAGAGCTCTCCAGCGTCCACAGCCCTGTGACTGCAGATTAAGTAGTATGTCAGGCAACCATCGCATTCCCTCTCCAGATCACAGGCCTGCTCTGGAGTGAGGTATCTTCCCAGGAGCTCTGTTTTCCGATGCCATTCAGCCAGGTGGAACCTAGTGAGAGTCACACAGGTTCATTTTTTTTACAGAAGAAAGGCTGGATTGTGTCTGATGTCTAGACTAGGTTTCCCCCCCTCAACTCAACAAAGACTTTTCTGATGTTGCTATTATGGTCAAGCCACGTGCATGATGCAAGAAGGGGCACCCACTCATCATGTACATACTTCTCATCATTGGCCAGTGAGACTACTTCATGGCAAAGCCACGCCAACACACAGCGAGCCTCAGCTTGTATGTGCCTGGATGCAATTGCAATGCTGCCAGAGGCCATGGACTATGCGTTGACCAAGGGTTGCCATGGTTGGTGGGTGAGAACTGGGCCACCTATTAATGAAAAGGCTAGTCACATTGTAGGCCTTGCTTTGCAGCTCTGGCCAGGGATGGTTTCGAGATCTCAACCGCCACGGGCGAAACCTTGGCATTGAGTGCCTTAGATGTCGACTATGTATCACACCCTCCTGAGCCCAGTGACCTTGAAACTTGCAACAAACATTTGGGTGTTCAAAAGCGTACTGAAAGATATGCAAGGCCAAGCACACAATTCGGTTTGTCCGTGTCCAGTCCCGAAACCTCTCATACGCTATGAGGAGCCGATCCGATTCCTGCATGGCTAGATCTCCAAAAAGATCAATGTCATACTCCATCAGCTTGCGGATAACACTTGCACACACCCACAAGTCGACCCCCAAATTCACAACGTGCATGCCATCCCATCTGATGCATTGTACTCGGAAGGATGGCAAACGAAGCAACGGACCTTTGCACTAGTGATTCTTGCTTCTGATCAGGCATGAAGAACCTATCCCGAAACGGCTTCTCAGGGAAAGACCAAACATTTTGCTTTTCAACTTGCAAAGGGTCTGTGTAGGTCACCATGTTTGCAACACTCGTCCAGAAAGCTTTGAGTGCTATGACGAAATTCACTATCAAGCTTTGAAGGAGCACTCACCAAGTTAGGTTTCATGGCTCTGCAGTTGTGGCAAATAGAAATGCATAAGTAGTTGCAGGATAGTTGTAACCATTCCTGGGTTTGGCCATCAATCTGGACACTGTGAAGGGAAATGCATGATTAGGGTCATTTGGTTTAAGTAAAACATCAATACAGGAACCAACAATATCATTGAGTACATAACAAGCATCCTGCTGCCATTTCCAATCTCCACGGATATCACATACAGCGTACTTGACACAATCACCGCCAGGCATCAGCACTATGCCCTCATTGAACAAGTTCGTCAAGGACTCAACTACCTTGGAGGGCCATGGGCCAGGGAGTTGATTAGGCTTGGCTGCTACAGTGCTCTTAACTGGACACTGTGCAGATGTTTAATGGAGGCTGGTTCATGCAAGTTGCACCTTCCAATATCGCACGGACAGTTGGAAAGCCAGCTTTCAGTTCCTGATTTGGGTCAGAACTATTCGGGAAACAGATCCTTTTTGTTTTGACACAGAACTTTGGTGGTATATTGCAAAAGTTGACCAAGAAAACCATCTTTGGTAAACAAAAGGTGTAAAATCCAGCCTAGCTTCAGAACGTGTAATGCTCAGGGGGTAGCATGCCTCAATGCTGTGCTTTCTATTGTCCAGAACCCCTCCCATAGCAATGAGCATCACCTCCTCACCACTTTCCCGATATTGACACTCATCTCCCCATAGCCAAATCGGGTAATGGTTCTTGCCAGGGCTGATCTCTGCAAGTGGGCTGTTGGCATTGGAGAGGTGGTCCCAAAAGGATTTGATCTCAGAACTAGGAAGTGAAGGTAGAATCGGCACCACATTGTGCGGCATGGCAACAGGGAGTCTCCTGCTGGCAAGTGTCCAAACCACTTGCAGGGGTCTTGGAACAAAAATAAATACATATGTTCGTATGTTTAGATATCCATGCATATATGTTATATTCACATATTTTGGCATTTAATTGTCAATCCTTTATCAAACAAAATAGTGTCCACATCAAAACCCTGTCCTGTTTTCAACTCCATTGGGTCCCCGTTGCTTCTGGACTGGTACATCAATCCAATCTATTTTCACCTGTCACAGCAAGGTCCAACCTAAATTCAACCCATGTAGCATTCCCCACCACTGTGGTGTATCCTCTATCCACAAGTTGGGGTGTTTCTATCCAGGTGGTGCCTGCTCCTGGTCGTTTTTGGCAACCTTCCGCATGATGTCCCTCTGACAATTGGAAGAGAACTTCCCACCACATCCAACTGATGCTAGATCAGCACATGGCCCTTGTAGCTGGACTCCATGACGCTTGAACTCCTGGCCACACACAGATCAATATTGTACATCAAACTCTGCCTGCCATGTTGGTTTGTCAATCTTGTTGTTTCTCAAAACTTGGCACACATGGTGGGCTGTATATGCACACAGTTGGGCTTGGTACTCACATTGCAATTAACACTGTAGGTGATGTGGCCTATACCTATACCAGCCTGTTTTGGCAAACCTTCAGTACCCCAATCCTTGTCCACATAGTGCATCAATGTTTGGGTCTTCGCAAAAGAAGTTTCCTTAGTGACCAGTGTCCAACAGCAGAACAATTCAACATGCAGGGCTCAAATTCGGCTCAAAAAATCCTCCTGGTTGGACACACCAAGATCAGTTGAGAGGACCAAACCAACTCCCCTTCATAATGTGGCGGTGTGCCTTGTATTGATATTTTTGAGCCAAGCTTCACCGAGACCAGCCTCTTTGAGCAGGAAGTTGTACAGCGGTGACTGCTTAATGTCGTTTTTCAGAACAGCACCTGCGCATGGGGAATGTTACAAACCAGGGTTTAAACTACTAGACACTGGTAAAGACAAATGGTACTCACCAGTATGAAAGGAAGAGGTATTTGCACACCGAGACAGTGACCACCACACGTGATAAATACGAATGAAGTCACCACGAGCAGGGTTAATTAATGGACTTTTATAGTTTTTCTGTAGAAAGTCTATTAATTCAATTGGCTCTAGTTCAAGCCATTTTAGGTAATCGTTTCTGTCCTGTCAAGCCCTCAAACACTCAACTACCCCCACCTGCATGAAGGCGTACTCAAGACCAAATACTTATGAAGTCACACCCCTGCATGAAGGCACACTCAAGACTGGTTGTTTCTCCACCCCCTGCTTCACAGTCTTTATCGGCTTCAGATCCAAAAATTGAGCAGCGCAGCCAAGTGCACAGTCCGATCTAGAACATGCACGACCACAGTAGTTCAGCTGTTAACCTATGGAGTGAACAGAATCCCACAACCGGCTGCACTAGCTGCAGACTAAGGATTTCCCTAGCCTACCCCTATCAACTCAATCGCGCTCATGCTGGAGGAGCTGGCTCTGTGGGCGACGGCAAAGGCTCCGATTTCTTGCCTTTGGCTTTCGGAGGTTCCTGGGCTGTGAAGGGCTCTGGCCTAAATCTGACAAAGTGACTGTGGCCAAATTTGGCCAACCAGCTATATAAATATATATTAAAGCAGTACAGTGCCTGGGAACAGTATAAGTACTTCCAAGCAAGGATGGGTGCAAGTAGCATCCCCTCAGAGTCACCAATTCCAGCAGTTAACAGGGAAACCTCACCCTGCCAAGCTTTATGGTTGGGGCAGTTGAGAAAACCCACAGAGGTTGAGAAACCCAATTGAAATAATCAATCATAAGTTCTGGAAAGCGTCGATCACACCCTTGATTGATCTCAGGGTTCCACCATAGCTGTTGAAGGCGGATTCACAATTGCGAACTGCAACCATACACCCCTCTTTGTACACATTGTGCTCAGGGAGGTCAACTTTGGAATCCTCAACACGCTGTCCATACAGCTTTTCGAGCTCAAGACGGGAACTTTGGATAGCATCCCAACGCCCCTGCAACTCCTTCTTGAAGCCAGTGATCAAATTCTGGCTCCTGAGCAGAGCAGGGGTGATGGCTATTGATGCATGGTTTGGTTGCTTGAAATAAATATGGTTGACACCCAAAACCACCAAAATTTCCATCCCAGGTGGCACATGGACCTTTACGTAAATATGTTCTATTTGTGTCACTGGTTGAAACAAAACAAATATTGGTGAAAGAACCGACCATTGAACTTCAGGGTTGTGACTTTGACAATAAAAAGTTATCTTCTGATACTAGCATCAGACCTGTCTTGTTCTCATCTAGCTTTGATTGCCATGATAGGATTTCCGTCATCTTGGAGCTGCAAGCGGATATGTTGGAAGAAAGCTTCTTACTCAATGGTTTCTGCTTCTTAGCCTTGTCTTTCTCCTCATGGCCGGGTGGAGTGGGGGCATCAGTCGAAGCCCTACCTCCGAAGGCGATCTGCTTGATCCTGTCCATCTGGGATCCGATCTCACCTTGCCTGAGCAGCAGGGTTCTTGGACAGAGCAGGGAAGGTTTGGGCAAAAGATGGGTTCAGTCTTGGTGTTAGGTTTTCCCTGATATGGTACACAAATCTAAATAGCTGAAAGACATGTTCATTTCAAGATACAGGACTGACTTTGAGGCATTCTCATCGAAAGCACCGGAGGCATTCAAACCCATAGACAGGCTATCCTCCTGCTCATCCTCATATTCCATTGCGTCCCAAACTCGTAGCAAGTACCAGTCCTGGGCTAGGCTTTTGTTTTTTAGTACATTTTAGTATGCTTTAGCTAAAGGGCTCTGAATTCAGGGTGTGGTCATGGCAATAATGCAAATGAGACTCTTCATTTCCTTTTGCTTCTGGGTGATGCATAAAGTAAATTGTGGAATCCCCTGGCTTTTTGTCCTTCTCAAGCGTTTGCTTCTCTTGGAGGATTTGGGAAGCAATGGAAGCACCAAACTTCTGCTTTACATCTTTGTAAGGCATCATGACATGCTTGCCCCTCCGTCTTTGGGTACTTTTCTTTTGAAGGGAGGCCACCAAAGACGTGTCCATCCAGTTCTCACCGCTTTGTAGCCAGTCTTCGAACATAGAGGTCAGACTGGCACCGCCTTAGTGGCTAGCACCACAGACCCCCAAACAACGTAGTTTTTACAGGCTTCACCTGTTAGTGGCAAGTGCGAACCTGCTACATCAATATCCTCCGTCAGAACAACCTAAATGTCCTGAACTATGACTCCAAAATTTCCAGCTTACAAATGAACTCCTTTTGTTCTCATCATTGTTCCTAAACCCTCTCTTTAAGACCATCAGTTTGATCCAAGGAACTGCTCTTCTTGGAGTTGTAAAGATCCACAATTTCCTTTGGACAGTTCCTTCCTGCGGGATTTCCTGAAACTTGACATTAGTGGGTTGCTTTGCCGCATCTCACGTTCAAAAAATCTAGGGGTGTGAAACTTGTCAAGGAAACAAGCCTGAGCAGAAAACAAACTTCTGACCCAAGCCTGCAAATGACCTGTTGAACCGCACCTTTGCGTTATGTGCCAATCTAGCCGCATGCTGGACCTCATCCTCTTCAATCCCTTTGGGGCCAATGAACTTGACTGTGCCATCAGGCTGGAAAATGGCATCTGGGTCATCTTTGTATAGTTCATGCAAGGTTTTTGCTTCACTTGCCTCAAACAGGGTTGGAACATAGTCTCTCTAGATATATATATATATAGTAAAACATGCATTCATGCTTGTTCAAGCTAGGCCTCTTATGGTTCAAAAATGGTTTTTCATCACGTATCTCACCTCGATTTGGGTTGTGTCCATCCTCCCCAATACACTCTTGGCCACATCAGCAAGTTCAAGAGCTGTACCATCAGGGGCTTCAGCAGCTCGTGGAGATTCTGAAGTAGCCTGTGATCAAGCAATATTTTTGGTGATAGAATTGCTACCTCAATGGGCTAAAGTCAAAGTCTATTTTCCTAACATGATCTGATTGTTTTTCAATTGTTCAATTCCCAAAAGCAAACTGCCAATGTGCATATAAGGCTGAGGGACCTGATGGTCAGGGGTCACCACTGCAGCTTCAAGTACTGCCAACAAAGCAGACTTTTGAGGCCCATCCGGCAATTCACGAATCTTGTCCAAAGCGGCGCTCTCCACAGTAATCCCCGGCTCACCCAACTCACCCGATTTGGCTTCTCCCTCCAAAGACAAAGCCTGAAACTTACTGTCAAGCTCTTGCACTAGGGCATCTAATTCTGGATCCTGCTCAACTTGGAGTTGCTGTAAGAGTGCGAAGATATGGGAGTCCATGAGTGAATCCAACCGCTTGATTTCATCGGATTGTTGGAGAACAGGCAATTTGGCGGCCTGTTTCTTTCCCCGGGCCCATTCCTCCAATTCAATGACTCTAGGATCATCAGAACCCTGGGTCACAGACCACTTTGCCAACATCCGGGACTTGGCCTTGTCAATACTCATGGACTGCTGATCGAACTCTTTTGTCACCTTCTCAAGCTTAATTGTGGCAGACTCATGATCCCTGACCACATCCAAGACTTGTGAGAGTGAAGCTTCATGACCCTGAGCTCCATCAACCATCCCAAGTCCCTCTCCCTTGATCCACTCAATGACTTTGGGTTTGTATTCTGCCACACTTTCCATAGAAATTTGTGGGATCAAAAGATCTGGCCCGAACAACAGTGTGGACAAGGGCAACGCCCAGGCAGGTGCCCCGGCCAGAGGCTCTTGCGGAGTTGAAATCATATCCAAACACTCTATAGAAGCACCATAAGCCAACGTGGTCGCCGTCAAGCTGGATCGTAGTCGTGGTCCATGAGTCTCAGGTGTGGAGACAGCACCTCAATATGCCCAACAGGGTTCACTACTCTGTGCACCAGTCATGCAAGGCATGAATGCTTGGAAGTGCACACTGTTGGGGTTGGAGCATGATGCTTCCCCAACTTGTGGCCTGTAGTGGGACCTCAATACAGGGCCCAGCAAAAAGGTTGCATGGCTTGGATCGTCGACAAACTTGCATTGAACTGGTGGTCGATCATTTTCATCGTCCCCAAGGGTACAGTCGCAGAGAACTTCAAAACATCGACGACTACCACATCAACTTGCATTGGCTATGCTTCAGTGAACTTCACTGTTCACACAGGTATAGCATCGATGATTTGCATATTTGCAGCTTTGGTTGGAAATTTACCAGCTTTGGCAGTGAAGACTATATACATACCTTAAGCCTTTCTGTCTTTTCACATGACATTGTCCTGAAGGAACAGAAACATGGCATAGCTGAGTCCTCGATGGGCGAACGAAGAGAGTACAAGGGGGTGTGGGAGGCCATTGTTGCTGGGGGGCTTGGTGATGTGAGGGATCATTAGCATCAGTGCTCAGGAGGCTATTAAAGTGGTCCATTGAGGTGAGCTGACCTGCTGTGAGAGCCAGGTACAGGACAGGAGACTGAACAATCACTGCATTGGATGCTGAGAAAGGAAAGTAGCGCAGGACTTTCATGGCTCTAGCAGCTGAGTTGAAATCACTGTTTACAGTCACAGTGCCTGGGCCTGACCTAGCTCTTTTCTTAACACAAGCAGATCGGAAAAGTTTTGATATGTGTCCTTTTTGAGCGTGAACAACATCCAAAACCGGAAGAAAAATGCAATTAATATAAATGTTCAAGGGAGCTGGACTTTTGTACAAGAGCATGGGACCCAAGTCTATCCTATGACCAGTAAAACTCAGTGGATGGTTATTAAAGGCCTTGTGTACTCTATGTCATATCAAGCCTCAATATGGAACACAGGCTAGCTTTGTTCCCTCCCTTGTCAGGCCTATATCTCTTCAATTTTCAATCTGGCCTGGGAACCTTGTTAAACCAGAAAAGGGTGGTTTTAGGTCAGCCTTGAAGGTGTGAGAAAGCATCCCAAGCTATATATGTAACTCAACAAATCTGAGATTAAACTAAGGCACCACTGCTATTGGCTTTGCTTGATGCAACGCTCTGTGGCGATCTCCACGCACTGGATGGCTTTGGCCTGGGTGCCTGGAAAGGACAGAACCATGGCCAGGGGCTGGGGCAACCAAAGCGGAAAAATGCAAATCTTCTTAGGGGGGTTCCCTAGGGGCCCTGACAGGTCAACAAGGGCTGGCTCAGGCACTGACAAGAAATGATGAGAAATCTGTATTTGCAAGACAACTAGAACACATTGTTAAAGACAAACCCCCAACCTGAGTTTCGATCTTCACTTTCTTTTGCAAAGGGCTTCTCACAGGAGTGAAAGTGGATGGTGGTGGGCCACGCTCTGTCTTTTGAGACAGTGCACGAACAGGCGTCGCAATTGGAATATCATCACGTCCTGACTGATCATGCACCCCTGGAAAAGGCCATGATGGGTGAATGAAACCAAATAGCTAGTAGTGCCAAATCTTGAAAAATATTGTTCCCAAAACAAGTCATGGATCCACCAGCCAGCTTCTCAGCCTCTGCTTTGGCCACACGTAGACGAACCTTCTCCATTTCATTATCAAAACTGAATCGGTCTTCCGAGGAATGCGAGGCGGCCTGTGGCACCACAGGCAAGAGAAGGTGAGGGTGGCTGTCAACATCAATTCTTTCCCTTGTCCAGGGTCAACATGGGTCAACCAAGGTGGAAACTTACCCCAGCCTTTGGTACAGATGCTTTGGCCATTGATTTGGATGCAGTAGCCCGAGGTTTGGTGCCAGACATGTGGCTCCTACACAGGAAAGCAACATGTCAAGAGCCCAACAGCCACAAAAAAACAATTTCCAGTGGGTCACATTTTTTAACGCTATTTAACGCAAAATAACGCTCTAAACTGCCTCAGCACGTGATTCTAACGCTAATTAACGCTATTTTAACGCTACGGGGGGCCATGCCGTGGTAGCAAAAAATGTTTGTTTTGAACAATTCTCGAGGTCACAGAGCGAAATTTAGCTAGCATCATGGGTCACAGATGCCAAATGTGACCTTCCCCAATCATTTGCACACCCTCCAGGTCACATCAAATGTGACCCCCGGGGAATGGGGTGGGATTGGGGGCGGGGGAGGTGGGTCACAGTTGCAATGTGACTCCAATACTCCAATTTGTCATGCACACCCTCCGGTCACATTTGTGTAGGATTTTCTCGATGTGACCACTCCACAATGTGACTTGGGCCAGAATTACATTTTCATGTTTATCTGGAAATGTGACCTTGTGTTTCCTGAAATCCATATCTAGATGGGGTCCTTTTGAAGCTTTTGGGTCTTGGCTAATTAGCTGCAAAGCCCACAAAGAAGTCCTTCATACATGAAATCCCGCTCCTCTTCCCAGCAAAGGGCCACCAGCAAGTATATGCCCAAACAGCTCCAACATGAGACAACAAAAAGCCAGGTCAAGCTGATCGATCTAGAGTCCAGGGTGTATATATATATATATGTATATATATTAGCAGTGCTTCATCGGATATATTTTAATATATAGCTTCGAGTTCAAACAGTTGTATCGCAATTGGCAACCATCATCACCATCTCTGCGCTAGGCACTACTCTTTCATGTCTCGAGCATTTAGGCCAGGCACAGGGCCAGGCACTGGGTCAGTGGCAAGGTTCATGAAGTTGGGGGCATACCGCTTTCATGCAAAGCGGTCTTCCGAGAAAGCCTCACCAAATCTGAATTTGTGCTGGCACAGGGTCATTGATCTGGAATCAGAATTCCATACACCCTTGGGCCGCACATGTAATTATTTTGGCAAAGGTTGCAATAAGTAATTCAGCTAGCCAGGTTAAACCCTGATCCGGACAACATACATATTGCACAGCTATCAGTACATAGCAGATCTAAAGAACAACATACTTGGGAAACAGTACTTGTGAAGTCATCATTCACCCTTCCAGGGCCCACATCCTAGCCAGCTCAGCAGTTTGTTTGCATGGCTCTACTTGAATTGGAATGTTTGGATCTGGGGTGAACGTTCCCGACTGGGCTGCTGAGCGAATGAAGTCCACCATAGGCTCCAGGTTCGCAAACTTCCAGCAATCAGGTGGTGGCTCCTGGCAGGGCACTGCACACATGTCAATACCGTAACCCTAAAATGTATATATATATATATATTGGGACCAGTGCCACCAGTACAAGTATGCTACACCATGATCTCCTGAAATCCAAACTTTTGGATGAACCCAGCCAGATCTGGCATTGGGATGTCCTCGGGAGAGTTTGGGCACATGGCAAGACAAACCAAAAAAGAAACACGTTTGTTCCAACACAAACCTCCAAGTTTTGAAACACACCCTTTCCAGGCCCAGATGTGTTCCTTACAGTTGCGAAACCCTATATATGCAGTAAATGGCTCACCCCCAAAATGGTCGTATACACCTGGTCATATCAAAAAAATATTACATAGTTGAACCCCAAGCTGCGGACTGCATGAACTTCAGATGGTGCTCTGCAACACAAGATCCAAAGTTCCGAGGGTATCGTTGAGAAGCTTTCAGATCTTTTGTTCCAGTCCTTAAAGTAAATGTTCACACAGGCTTTCAACCCCATTCTAGAATTCAAAGCCACATGACCAAGAACAATGGGCCAACATATGTATGGCATAGGTATATATGGCAGATATGTTTTATATGTAATTTCCACAAAGTGTCACATGGATCTTGTTGCTCGATTTGGACACCGTCAGCTTCACTATTTCCTTCCCATGTAATTTGGCCTTGTCCTTCAATGCCTTCCTGTTCTCTTTGGACACTGCCTGATCGAGGTACCCAGCCCATATCCTGAGTGATCAAAGAGGCCCGCGCGCAGTTGGGAGCATATGGGGTTCCCAAATTGTTGTGTACAGAATTGCTTTTCTCCAAGCAACGCATTGGACAATCCCAACTGTGGCTTCAAGCTCCAACCACCATAGTATCCCATGAGCCTGGTATCAAAGTTGCTACCCCTTGGAGCAGGGTTATAATTAATGGACTTTTCTAGTGTTTCTGTAGAAAGTCCATTAATTCAATTGGCACTAGTTCAAACCATTTTTAGGTGATCGCTTGGTCACCCAAGTGTAGTTAGCTTGAGGAGGTCAACAGAAAGTAAGACTATACGCATTTCCAGCTACCAAGAGGTTCTGTGGGAACCCAACACCGGCATGTGCATGAGGTAGTTCAAGAACGGCCAGCACTGCAGTGAGCTTTGCAAGGGGTTCTCCACAAAGAAAACCACGGATCTTGCCAGGGATACCAATATCAGAATGCAGCTTCTGGCACAAATGCAATTGCCCATTTGGACAAACTGTCGGTTCAAAGAACCATATGGATCAGCCCACGAGCGTCGGTGGCATGATGAACTCATGAAGCTGAATGACTGGCAAGGAACTGCCAGCCATGATAATCCCTTTCTCTGGGTCCTGAGAACCAGCCCAAGACTACTTATGAAGCCAAGAGCAAGGGTGATGTCCTGCAACACTGGCTCCTTGTCGAGGTCAAACCCTTGCCTCGGCTTTGTGTGGTCCCACATTAATGTGCATAAAATGCTAGAATGTGCAAAACATGAAATAAAAGTTCGATTCAGATCAGTTTGCATCATGGTTATCAGGTGCAAAGCCCGACCAGTGGGTTGGGGTATCATTGCTGTTTTTTGGTGGCCCCCTGACATCTCTTGGTGATTCCACAAGGCAGGCCGTTCCTGCAGCAGAACCTTAGAAGTTCGGAGCCCCAGAAGCCACTTGCCTGCCAGGTTGCGCTGTGGAACCAAAATCACCTGGGCTCACACAGTGCATGAGGACAAGACTCTACATCCAAGATTGTCAAGTTTAAATGTAAGCACCTCTATGTCCCAAGATCCCTCAATCCCTCAAGCTCAACAAAACACTTTTGGAAAGTTTGCAAACTGCAGTCTATGCAAATTTGAAATGATGTGCCACAACTGGGCCTCCAACGAAAGCCTTGAGTGACACTTTCGACGCCACTGAAGAACTCGCAGCAAGCCAAGTCCTGACACTGCATAAATGGATTCGGACAAGACTCACTACGAAGTGGTATCAGTGGACATGGGCACTTCATTCAGAAGATCCGTCAAGCTGCTTGAAGTTGGCTTTGCCCTATCATCCAAACAAGCCAGGGGGCACCACAGAATACTTGGTGTGCCCATGACATTGGAGCATGACATTGGAAACCCACCCAGTGATGATCGTATTGCTCGAGGCCATGATCAATCAGAAAGCTGAACCCAGTCTTCAAGGGAATCAATGTATTCACCAGCCAAAAAATGCACAAACTTTAGCAAATACATACCATCCCCCACCCAACCTCCCCTGTCCAAAAACCCAATCCAAAGCAAAGGCTGTCCCGGCAGAGCTGTGGCTGGGTCTGCCCAATGAAGTCCAGTAGATGGATCCTTGCAAGAGGGAAGATGGGTGTAGAGACATGATGGTCTATACATTCTCTGGCCAAGAAAGCCAGCCGATAGGTGTGGCTGAGTCCTTGACAGGCGAACGAAGTAAAAGGGGGTGTGGGGGGAGAAGTGGTCACAGTCACAGTAGGGTGAACTCAGAGCCTGGTGAAGGAGAACGAAAAACAGGGCGTCCAAAAGGTAGTGAAACTGTATGTTTCTTGGGGTCAGCTGACCAGGTGTGTGAGTCCAGGTTGCTTTCATGATCAGAATGATAGGAAAGGAAAGTAATGCTCGACTTTCTATATAGTAGCTCAATAGCTTTTTTTTGTAGAATTGTTGGAAGGCTTAATACAGTAGTAGTCCTCCTGGAATAGTTACTCAGGGTGCCCTTTTTAAGCATGAAAAGAGTACCAAAACGGAAGAGGTCACCCCGAAGGGAGTTGAACATGTTGTACAAGAGTTTCGGATCCAAGCCTATCCTATGACCAGTAACAGTGGATGGGGATTAGTAAAGGCCTTGTGTATATATAGGTTCTATATCATATTGAGCCTCAATGTGGAACACAGGCTGGCTTTCGTCCCCTCCCTTCAGCTAAATCGTATGCATGAAGTTGGCTATCTCATCAGGTGTTGGAAACAAAACAGGGGCTAAACAAATTCCAGGTCACACTAGAGGCGGACATCCCAAGCACAAAAGGACAGCGCACTGCAGCTTGGAGATGCGCACAGATCGGGGCGCCATAGCTATCACACAGAAGGTTCCGAGCAGAACACTCAAAAGATCTATAGGCCTAGAGGTCCGATGTCATTTGGATCAAAAAGGCGCTTTTTCAACAGTTAGTGCCCATGGGTGGCTGGATGTTGTATGAACTCACATGTATACTTTTGTTTCCGGTAGTGATGTTCAGCTCCTGGCAAGCAGAGCAAAGCTTGGCGCAACACACAATTAGACAATGTGAGCAAACATGCACCACTTGAGTTGAAAAAACAAAACCAAGAATATAATGGATATGCAAGTGGTTGATCAGCCCCATCCAGTTTCTTCACTTTGAAGCCACAACCACTCAGCCCCCCAGCACAGGGCAAGGGTGTGGCACCACGTGATGTGCCCGCAGTCCCTCCTGCCAGAGAGATCAGGAAAGGGTTGGAGCAGAGTTGATTGAAACCATAGGGTCCACATACCTTTTGGAGGGTGATTGGGGAGACCTCTATTTATGTAGGCCTGGAGGATCCAAGCCTTTCTTGAATCCCTAGAATTAATGTGGTATGGGCAATTCAGACCTGAATGACTAGTCAAATTTATGAAATTAATTAAAAAATGGGACAAGTGGAGATGTCATATCAAAAGGCATCGATTGCAAATCAATGATTAAAATAGGTGTCCGCAACACACTGGAAGGAACCAGTTTAGGTTCTTTTTCTGGACACCTCCTCATTCATTTAGGTGACCAAATTTGTGCATGTTTTTCCTTGAAAGCAAATGGGGATGTGCACAGAGTCCCAAACCCTGGCCTCTCCATTCAACCAAGTTTGAGCTCGATGCCGATGATGAGGCATTTTGTCGACCTGCGTGCACACAATGGGAGTAGAGACCACTGAAGATCTAGAGTGTCTAGTCTAGACAACCATGAAGGACAAATGCATAATATATAGAAATACACACTAAATATAGTACATATAAATGTACATGCCACTAGTCAGCCCACTCTCTGAACACAACATGGACTGATGGAAATGCAAACAGCCACTGGCTCTCAGCTAGCATCTTTTCCTCACACTCGGATGAACTTAGGGCAACTTGAGCAACACTAGTAGTTGCAAAGCCAGGCCCAGGATCTAATCCACACGCTGCTGCTGCTCACACCACCGTAATCTTGCTATATGAGCCGGGTTTCTTTCAATATGGCACCATAGGTGATTCACAGCAACAAGCGCACGCAATATCCGAAAGGCCCAAAACATATAATTAGATTCTTGTGTACTCATCAGAAACTGCAACTGCATGCGACCATGTGCACGTGCACACCACTTGGTCAATCAAAACAGGTCCAGTATTCAATTGAAAACCTGACCCTGAACACAACCAAATTAAAGAAGCATGCATTGATGGGAAGTGGATGTCAGGCCTATTAATGTTATGGTGTTTCTTTCCAAGGTGTGGATACAGTGGTCGCAACAGTGGTTTGGCCCAAGCCCATAGGTCAAGCAACAAAGCCTATATGAAGCACCCCAGGCAGCTCAGCTCTCATCCCACATAGCAACGTACTTTGCCAGGAGCCACCTGGCTGGGTTCAGAGTGTGATGCCCTTTTTGTGTGGTGATATATGGCTGCATGTTGATGCCTCAGCACTGCAGGGAAACATGTCAGTTGCACGCAGTCTTTGGGTCAGGCCCCCAGGGGACACAGAAACTGCCATTGGGATATGGGTCTCTTCCAAACTTCTCCTGAACCCGGTCCTCTGAAGCCTTGCCAATATAGTAGTGGGACTGGTACAGCACTACCCCAATATTGGCACCACGCTTCTTCGGGTCATACACTGTGAAGCTCCTTGGGTTCAAAAGAAACAAGTGACATGTTTTAAACAAGCATTTGGATTGCACACTTGGCTGGTGCCAAAGCAAGAAATACAGGTGTTCTTGAAATAGTTCATGCAAGTATCTTCTTTGAAAAAGGTGCTGGCGGAATGGTCATCCCATCCAACTTGATGCCCCTCAAACGTTCCAAATTGCTAGCTGCCCTGGTGGCCCTAGCATCAACTCGTTGTCGAGCCTTGCTGTTGGGGGTGGTCTTCGACGCAAACCTCTTGGCCTTTGGTGTCAACTTCAGACCTTCTTTCTGAACCTTTGAAGGGGTGGACGGTCCTGGGTGGCTCGGAACAAGTGGTTCTGACTTGGTCAGGTCATCATGACCAGCTTCTGCCTCAAGTTCTTTGTCTAGCTTACGCTTGACTGGTTTCACTGGTTTCTTGACCTTTCTGCTTTCACGATCCGCTGCTTCAGACTTAAGCTTTGCAAGTTTTGCCTCTACCTTTGCAATCTTCAAGTCAGCTGCTTCCTTTTTTTTGGCCTCAGCCTGGAGCTTCTTTTGTTCCACTTTGTCCCGTGCTTCCTGATCCAAGTGTTTTTTTAAATCCCTTTGCCTTGACAAGTCTGCTTCCACACCGTGTTCCGGCACATGGCTTTGTGCTGACTCTACCACCCGGGCAGCAAGAACAGGCGGGTTGGGGATCAACTGCTCCTGCTTACGCTTTTTGGCAGGTGAACCCTTCGAATTCGCAGCAGGTGGCTCCTCACACTTGGATCCTACACCATCCGTTCCTGCAGAGACTGTCATGTCATTTTCAACATAAAGGCCAGTGCAAGATGATCGCTTGACCACCTGATCAGAAGCATCACGCACTTCTTCCACCTGTGAGTCCTCAATGTCCAAATCAATAGCATGCCCAGAGCCGACCACCTGGGCAGAGCATGTACAGACTCTGGACAAGACACTGGGGTAAATTCTGCCACCTGGGAGTCCTCAATGTCAATCTCACAATCAACAGCATTCCCAGCATCGACCGCCTGCACAGAGCACATGAAAGATCTAGACAAGAAGACAGTTTTGCCACCTGGGAGTCCTCGATGTCAATCTCAACGTCAACAGCATTCCCAGCATCGACCGCCTGCGCAGAGCACATGAAAGATCTAGACAAGAAGACAGTTTGCCACCTGGGAGTCCTCGATGTCAACAGCAACAGCATTCCCTGAGCTGGCCGCCTGAACAGAGCATGCACACATGCACATATGTATACAGAACCAAACAAGCTCACAAGACTTGTGTGTGTGTGTCCCATAGAGCTAGCACTGCTGACACAAGCCTCATTGGCACCTGGATGCTTTTCAAAGAACTTCCGTATACGTAGTGAATATGGCACAAATCCATGGCCAGAAACTGATGACATATCCTTAAGGTGGTCACACTATGTCACTATCACATATAAATGCACTGGGGCACTGGGATTTGTCAGATATGTATAACGGGAGCTTTGCAGAATTTCTCTCTTCAGACTCAACCCCTGCCCCCTCTCACCCAGCCCAAAGTTTGCCATTTTGCACGACATTTGACATCCCCGAAAGACATCTAGATTTAAGATGAGTTGCAGCATCTGGGGCCTGACATTCATCGCGATGACCAGTGGCAGTGGTAGAACCAACATCTTCCAAAGGGGCATCATCCTTAGACTCCCGTAGGCAATATGATGAACAGGTGGGTTGCTTTTAAACCTTTTCTCAACGTTTCTTGGAAACAGCAGCTGAGTTTCTGTGTGTTCTGACTTGACTTCCATTGGACCAGCTTGCGGGCCCTCAACCAAGTGAACAGCAGTGATTATTGGCTCATCGTCCAGGTCCACATCCAAGTGGTTCTCATCCTGCCCGCGGAGCTGGCTGGTCATGTTGCCCGGATGATCATGGAGTGGTATGGCTTGTGGGTTCAAGTCGTTCGGGTAGTATTACATCGTCCTCCAATGGCTCTGGCTCTGGGGGAGGTGCCTGTGTTGATGCTTTGGCTTTGGCCTAGCAGACATGATCAAAACATGGCCCATGCACAAGAGCCCTAAAGCTAGCCTTGTCATGAGCTTTGATGACTCGGTAAGACTTCACAATGCTCTTGAGGACTTTGATTTTCTCACTCCTGCTCCGAGATCAAAGAACACAACAGGTTTTTGTCACTTGCTAGTTTTCAAGGTGTTCTGAAGGCCATATGGATGTTTGGTTGTTGGCCAGGTCCTTGACTCAGGCGTTCGGTTGGTGAGAATCACCAGGTAGGTCAACAATTTCCTCAACCGGGCCACTGGCATGACAGCAGGCCACATCACACCATGCTATACATGTGGCAGTGTGCTAGCCCTTGACACACATGTTGTAGCTGAGATTCTCGGATCTTGCCCTTTCCCCCACGACGATGGTGAAGATCAACATGGAAGTTGTTGCGAAGAGACAAGAGCAGTAAAGCGCCCTGAGTCAGGAGCATTGCATGGGACATACCAGGGCCATGGTTGGTATGGTAACACTGGCCCACCAAAAAGATTCTTCACAAACCAACCTGCCTCAAACTCAGCCAAAATTGGAATTTCATGGATCGATCCCAGCTCGAGGTGGAGTTCGAAGCATGTGTATGCTACATCCCGGACCAACTCAAAGTTGGATTCTAAGTCCTGTTCAGTCAGGACTGGACGATCGCGTTCCGGAAAGCAAACCAACTCCCGATCTTCTGACTGCATGATCATTGGGCCCCGTGTTGCACAGTAGGTCATCAAAGTATGGTGGATCTTTTGGCCAATGACCTTAGTGTTCAAAATTTAGGGCACTGATCTCTCACTGAATCACACACTCCTTGTAATGTTGTACAGGTACAGCAGTACATCCAAATTTATGAAGACAAGCTGCACCAACCTTGAAGCGCATTGGCTTTGAAACCACTAGGTTTTCCCCCACCATTTCCTCCTCTATGAGGGAAGCACCACGCTTCATGGCGCCAGCCCAGGTTCGTGTCACCACTCAACTCAACGCTCGGGCCAAACTTGGCCATGGAAAGAAAAGCAGCATCGACAGACTTGGGTTGATTTGTCCTGGATTCTACCCTCAAGCACTTGCAACCAAGGCATTCTAGATCAAATGAACCCTTGAGCTTGCAAGTTTTTGAAACATGATAAGAGCAAGCCACACATGCACAGCTTCAGAAACAGTGGGGTTGGCGAACCTTTCAAAGCATGGAGCCGCAAGAGGCCCATCGAGCAGCAAACAAGCAAAGGATATAATATATTCAATAGATCTGATGCTGGGACATGGCATGATGATGTATATATAAACTGTTGCATCAAAATTTGTTGTGCGTCGTACATGTCCTATTGGTGTCCCAGAGCCACCAAGACCTGAGCGACATGCAACACCACCATTTCTTGGTTGTCCAAACAATTTCAGTGGTGATACCTAGGTGAGGGGTCCCAGGGTTGCCTCAGCACGGACTTGGGAACCCAATCCTTACTGAGTCCGCGCTCAGAAGGTTTTGGACCAATCACACGCTGAGAGTGGTCTTTCCGAGACACATGCTGAGAGACAACATGGATCCCTAGGGATTATAATTAATAGTTATCATGCCACTGGAAAACATGACCCACCCACCCCTGTCTGAAGACCCCCGCTCTCTCTGGTCGCATCTCAGGTGATCCAGGAGGTGGTGGAGGCTCTTCGCAGCGTGCCGTCCTCGGCCAACACGCAGCCCTGGACCATCGTCGTGGTCCAAGGCGGACCGGTCGGAGCTGATGCTGCGGCGTTTGGGAGAGGTTTTGCGTCGGAGCCGGATGGGTCGGAGGTTCTGTGTTCAGTGTGTTCGGTGAGGAAGGCGCACAGGAGTGGAGGTTGGAGTAGTTTGGGAGATGTCGAAGGAGAGCATTACGATTGTTTGCACAGAATGACGGAGTGGAAGAAAAAGCTGACTTGGGCACTCATGAAGGTGATTTGTTGGTGGTTGAAGCTTTTTGCTCAATAGCCATGCACAAAACATTGGAGTGGTTTGGGTTTTGGAATTGGTGGGGAATGGAATCAATAGGAGAAGCGTGTTTTGGAGCTCCGATGGCCTAGTGGTTCAGGAAGCTTTGGTGATAGTATGTGATAGTGATAGCCCTGTGCAAGCGAAAAAGCCAACGAAATGTGCAGAGTCACTCCAGCGGGATATGAGCTGTCAAAAGGGCTCCATGTCTTGTCTCAATGACCTAGTCAATCCGACATCATATGAGACTTTTGGAGGGTGCTTTGGCACCAGGGAAAAGTTAGTTATTTTTTCAGGCTTCTTTTGCCCAGATAATGAGACATCAGAAACAGTTCAGTCAGTAAACTATCAAGTGTTGGGGTTTTCAGGTCCAGAGAGACCGAAATAGATGTTAGTTGAATCGCAGTTGTGTGGACTTGCGAAAGACGGGGTTCCTCTTCCTGCTACTGCTGCTACTGCAGTTTGGCGTGGCGGGCCTCAAGTGCAGTGTACGTGCCAGGGGAGAAGCGCAACCAGCTGGCAAAGAAACTCTTGGAACAGTTCGACGCTTGGAGATGTGTTTTCGATTTTGAGGGCGACTTTGCTTCGATCCGGCTGTTGGACGCCGTCATCCAAAACAGTGTACCGGTGTAAGACTGCGATGTAGGAAAAGGATGAAAAAGGCCGGAGTCCTGGGTTCTTCGGTGGTTCTTTGACATCTCGTGAGGCTGATTGAAGCTGGGGTCTTGGCTGGAGACACACTTTGGTAGCTGTGGATGGTTTTCTAATTCTAGACTAATCACGTTTGCTGGCTCACGACCCACGAAACACCGTGGGTTGCGGCCAGACCCGTTTTGCCACTTGGTGTCGCTCATCGCTAAGTAGCCACGTAGGAGCCACCGTTGCCTCACGAACATTGTGAGGCTCTTTGAGGTTCGAAAGCTTCGGGTTTGGCAACTGTTCTGTTTGGGTGGGCCGTTTTGTTATGAAGCTGCAGGTCTTTTTTGTAAAGACCCGGCATCGACGTATGCTGGCGTACTCGCCAGCATTCGTTGAATTGGCTCAGGATGCAGGTGAGATGGGAGCAGCCGAGCAACTTGGAGGGCTGGACATGGCGACATCAAACCTGGTCAGAACTGAAGGACAAACCGTCATTGACCGGAGCTAACTGAGGAATCAGGTCCTATGGCCAACCCACAGAAGCTAAAGATCGAGGTTGTTGCAATCTTTGTGTCGTTGCTCTCGTTGTTGGAGAAGCGTCCACAGGCTGAAAGAAAGTATCAGGAATGTTGTTGTTGCTGCTGCTGTTGTTGTCGTTGTTGTTGTTGCTTTGCTTTTTCATGTGTTTTGTGTTTTTTTCATGTATCTCGGGGTGGTGGTCAAGGAGAACTATCGGCAGGATGATGGTTTAAGGGAAGGTGGGCATTATAAGAAGCCTTGAGGCATCCTTTGGTATACTGTAGACTCTTAATGAATACTTCCCCATTTGGATTGTATACAGTCATTTCGGATTGACTCAAAGAGCTCACGGTGATCCACATCGAAGGAACGGACCCCGCTCAGCGTTTCTAGCCGAGCCCCCCCACGATCGACCATCCGAGGTATGAGCAGCTGCCCAAGACCATGATCCCACGGATGTCGAAGGCGGTGGAGCTCTTTGAGAAGGAATACTTCGAGCATTTGGGAATCAGCAGCTCAGCTGGTGGAGACTAAAAAGACCGTGCTTTGTGGGGCCTCTTGGTTGGCTCCGAGAGGCCATTTCTGGGCCACGACGGGTCACTTCTAGGTGGAATAAAGGATGAAGACAGGCCCCATCCATCGACGTATATATATAAGGCTCGGGCCAGGGCCATTTCGATAAAGGGCTTCTTGCCGGGATGTCCAAATTCGCATGAAACCTCACGTCGAGTGACCCCGTTGGACCTTGTTTCCATCCTTTGAAGGCTTTTTTGAGCGACAAGCCCATCCCTACTTGCGTGACAGGTCATGATAATGAAGCGAGGGAAGCATTTGGATCAGGTGTCCATGCAACATTCTTGAAGAGAACAATAAGTCTAAAACAATGGACTCTGAAAGGCAGGTCGAGATTGCATTCAACAATGAGAACACTGTATAACCGGTATATTACAAAAAACTACTTAAAGAAAATGGTTGCTCATGGCCCCCTTTGGGATCCCATTCGTTTGTGTCGTTCCTCACGGAGTGCGTCGACTGCAACGCATTCCATCGCCGTTCCTTGCTACCTCAGGTGCGGACCAGAGGTCCAAGTTCCGAAGCAACTTCGAGCGCGGACCTCAGTTCTCTCTTCACGGTGTGGAAGAGATGTCAGAAGATGAGAATTCGCTAGCGTGATCGTTTCAACAAGAGGGCTTTTTGGAGTTGTTGGGCCATGAAGAGGGCTTTTGGTGTCCTTTTTCGAGAGCTTGGGCCTTCAAAAGGCTTCAAGAGCGTCGTCCATTCATCCATTTTGTGCACTTGGACAATGCATCGGACGGGTGTGTTGAATGCTTCCATCATCTCGAAGACGAACCCAATGACCAGTCCAGTGACCAGTCCTTGTGCGCATCGCCGGTCCAGGGACCATCCCGCATGCCTTTCGGACATGTGTGTTTTTGTTTCCACCATTTTTCATAGATGACATTTGTATCATGACGTGTTTCGTTATTTTTTTTGTAATCGATGTGTCTCAATGATGTTCATGCAATGCACGTCGATGCATGTCGACACCGGGCCGCATGAAAATCGATCAAAGTGAACATGAAAACAGTGGTCCTCCATGTCAGCGGCCTGTGGCCACATGGTCCTAACAGAACAGAACACCTTGCTGAGGTGCTCCTTGTTGAGTCTGAGGTGTGATTTCCATCATCCTATATCATATCATCCTATGCTTATTTGCTTGGTCCACCATTCAAGCCTCACACCTCTGAACAGAACCCCGCAAATATATCCGCCTATAGAGGGCACGGCACCGCAGCACGCCAGGTTTTGGTCCGCCCCCTTGCACCTGGCGGTCTGCGCGCCCAGCGGGCCATGTTTGAAGGAGGACCCGCCGGTGGATGGAGTCTTCCTGGATATGGGCTCGGCCATCACCGCCCTCTCCATGTGCCACTGAGACGCGAAGCAAAGAAACCAAAAACGGCCGCGAATCGAAGTGTTTGGGGGCACGGGCCCGTGGTTTCCAGACGAATCAGGCCCCGGAGAGTTGAGAAGTTGTACGATGGGGTGAGAGAAAAAAGGGGGGGTCTGTGACCCACCTGAAGACCTCGGAGTGTCGGTGTTGGGAGGTTTGGAGCAAACGGCCTTGAACCCTGGGAAGGTGCTTGCTGGGTCAGTCACTGGCAGCTTTCGCGGAAGACTCCCAAAGTGTGGGATTGGGATTGTGTAGAAATTGTGGTACTACAGCTTTCGGGGCCGTGCGGATTGACACATGACGTATGAAGCTTTTGCCAGGAACTATTTTGATCCCAGGCATCTTGCCAGCTCAAACAGGTTTTTTTGCTGCTGGGGGTATGGGCATGTTCTCCCATTTGATGCCCTGAGCCGGCCGTACATGCTGTTCATCCGGTTCCTTTTGCTGGTGTGAGGCCGTGGAGTTGCATCCGTTTACCGATGCCCTTCGTGATACAGCCATTATATCCCCCCCCCGCCCCCCCCCCAAAAAAAAAGTAAAACATTGCGGCAACTTCATATTTCAACGGAACCAGTGTGTGTTATTACTATTCTTTGGGAACCACTGCATGGTTACCAGCTACATGTGATATATTTGGACAGCATGGGCGTCAAGCCGCCGGTCTACCGTCCGCCCAGGCGCGCACGACCGGGGCTTAGCCGTGCATTGCCACTGGCAGTTGGCACGGTTCGGCTCGGTCTACCGGGAGGTCTTGGGCAGTGACCTGCCAGAGGCCGGTGGGTTTTTGTCATCCCTAAGGAGGGCTCCAAGCAGATCTTCAGGTGGTGAGACACGCCAAACCCACCCCCAACCATCTACACATACATTAAGGGTGAGCCTCACACATTCAGGCACGAGCTAGCTGCGCATAGCTGCCAAGGTCAGTGTATCACTCCCTGTTCTTTCCTCTGATTGAATGGGAAACATCACCTCCGTTTTGATATAGGACGTTGGACGAGCATATGTTGGGGGTCGAACCCGTGCGAACCTTCCACCCGTCAGGACCACTTCGTGGTCGCAGGCCTCAGCTTGGGCTTTCCCATCGGCGGTCGCGCGGTGCAGACGTCGCCCGAGTTCCTGCCCACGCGGCTCACGGTGGATGAGACCACACGAGACTCGGTAGAATGGTGTCGTTGACTCTGGAGGGGGAGCTGGCTGAGAACACTCTTTAAACACCAAAATCAGGTTTTTCCACTTCCATGTTAGTTCGGAGTAAACAATCTCAACTAAGATGAAGCTTGGTGGGAGGGTGTTTCCGAAAAGAAGTTTCGAAGGCGGCAGTCCAAAGACTGCGAAACATGGAGATTGAACTGGTGAACTGAAGAAGAAGTAAAAACAACATAATATGTGTCATGAGGCCAGCCTGTTGATTTAGGCATTATGGCGTTGCAGCTCCTCTCCAATTGGGGAGGGACGATGACCGAGCGATCACCAGCCACCAGGAGAGCTTGTCGAACCCACTAGGTCCGCTGCATGGGTCACCAGGGGGATTTGAAAGGAACGCTGCATGCTGGTGACCTGACTCAGTCGAACCAGATCCCACATTTTCCTTGGAAGGCTTTGATGCCGCAGGTGTCGTGCTTCGGAAGCTGCGAAAGTGGTAGTGAGAACCATGGTTCTAGCCTATCCACATAGTATGAATGGTTTTTCCTCCCACCAGCCAGGCCTTTCCATTTGCCATGCTCCACATGTTCATGTTAAAGATGTTGGCACATAGAGGGAGCCAACCCTATGTGTCTTCCGGGTGGCCTCGACCCAGGTTGGCTCAACTGCGATGCTGCTTGGCTTGCGGAGTCCAAGGTGGAGGCCTTTTGGTTGCAAGACACAACAAGATCTTCGACGGAGCATTTTTGTCCCCCGTGATTTCCCATGAACTACCTTCAAAGCAGGAGTTTATATGCTCGTGATGCTTGTGATTCCAAGCCTTTTCCGAGCAAATTGGCGAATGCCTTGTCTTCCCACCCTGATCTTTTAATATATTTAGCTTAATTTGGGGCTCTCCCAAAAGAAGACCCCCAAGAAGGCTCCCACCCAGCGCCCATTTGAAGGTCTTCACCTCCGTCGCTGCTGAACGCCTTCGCCTTCGCTCGCTCGCTGTGGAGGTCGAAGCTTCGTCCCACGGATTGATGCACCTGGTGCAGTCGCGGCATTGCTCGCACACCCTCGAGACGGGCCGAGCGGTGCCCAAGGACGGGCCCGGGACGGGGTGTGGGGACGGTGTGACGGGAGGAGGGCTTTATACAAAGGGTGTCAAAGAGATGAGTCACAGTTTTGGTAGTTTGTTTTGCTTGAGAATCTTCTAGGTTGAGGTGGTGGTTGAGGTTGTTCGGATTCCTACTTCAAAGAATTTCTAAGCCAGGTTTGTACCCCCCCCTTCAAGCAGGCGGCATCAGGCGGCTGTACTGTCCGGGGTGCCATTGGATCCCAAGCGTGGTACTTGAAGGTTGAACTGAGACTGCAGGTGTCCAAAGACAGAGACTCTCGTACAGGCAAACCATATTCGCATGAGTTATTGAGGACTTGGCAGTTGCCTTTGGAGGCAGAATCCCATGCAAGATGTGCATCTTCGGCTTGCCTGCCTATTATCACAAGCTTAAAGCACCACTTATTCACCAAATGCAACTCATCTGTTGCAGTATACGTAGTATGCATAGTATGGATGTGCAATGTTCATGTTCCTTTCCGACCAAAGACGGATCTCCCAAAACAGCTCACGGTTGAGGGTCGTGCGACCCTCTCCGTCCACACCACGTGCGACCCCCGAACCGCGCTCCGGGGCACGGCAGGAGCTGCTTCGCGATGTGCTCTCGGCCGCGAGGAACGTGTTCTCGATCGGCGGTGCGGCCTGGCTGCATGGGTCGGGAGGAGGTCGGCGTTTCTTTTGGTGCTTTTGTTTTTGTCAATGGCTTTTAATAATAATTGTAATTATTATTATAATAGACAAATTGTTCTGTTGTATAGGCAAGACTGTTCTCCGTCCGCTTTTTGAAGCGGTCTCAAGACTGTTCACGTTTGATGTTTCTCGGAGAGCGAATCTCCAGGTGGATTGAGAATGTTTTTTTTGGAGTGGTTTGGACAGCTTGGGAGTCTGGAACACAGAATGCATGTCCGTTTTTCGGAATGGACGGCAGGTGCACTTTGCGTTTCGGCGGTGGGACTGGTGTTTAGGGCCTATTAGGGTTTGGTTGCCCCATGTTGCCCCAACTGTTCCATGAGCTTGGACACCTAGATGGACCACCTCACCCAACCCGTTCCCCCAAAAACGCCTCCAGTCAGTGACTGACGTTTTTCTGGTCGTGCCGGGTGGTGGCTTTGACCGGTCGGGCCGACCTGACCAGGCACAACCTTGGTCCGTGACGGTGATCCAGGGCGCTGCCCGAGATCGGCTTCTCGAGTGAGTCGGATGGACGGGACCAAGCGTGGGCCGGGGGACGGACGGGGGGCTCTGAGAAGAAGAGGTGTTTATTGTTTTTTTTTTTTTTTTCTGTGTGTTTTGTTCTCTTCGAAGACCATGTTGAAAGACCAGGGTGTTTCAAAAGGATTTGTTTGTTGATGTTTGATTTCATGTTTGTGTTTTTTCTGTTTTTAAGGGTGTCAGTGTACTGTAGGCCCTGTAGGCCTATATGTTTCACTCAAGGATGGGCAGCCTAGAAGTCACACCTTTGGAAATCCTTCAGGGCAGAAGTTGTGATTGATGATCAATCACACTGATTGATGGCATTCACCACATTCCACCTGCTGTGGAAGTTGTTGTTGTCGGATTCTGCTTTTGGTTGTTTAGTTGCAAACACAATCTTCCACTTAACAATGATTCCACTTGTGAATGGGTTCCAGAGTTGCACTCACCGGCATGCGTCGGATCTCAACATTCATATATGCTTGGACCCTCCAAGCACACCCTCAAAGGATCTCAAAGGTATATGCATCCCTAACTTACCACCCAACAATGGAACTGGCAAATGGTTTTTGGAATTGTCTAAGAACCTTTGCATATCTTGGCATTTTTCAAGAAAGAACAACTGCAAACTGCCTCACCTGCATGGCTACCTATACGGCTAGCTGCTCCGCCTTGCCAAGGCTGTCTGAGGCCATGTTGGCCTACTTCGACGCAGGCAACAACGGAGCTCAGACCTACAAAAAGCCTTTTGGAGCAACAGCTTCTGGCTTTGCCCTCATCACTGGGCCAGTGCAGACATTTATACCAGCTATGTAGTAAAAAGGGAGCCTTAACACCCTAACAGATGGTTTCTGGGCAGCTGTTGTCACCAGGAACCACCAGTTGGAGGGTCCAGGTGGTGGCTTGAATGGCTTGCAAATACCATCATTGGCTGGGATCTAGATTCTAGATTCCAGACACTCCATGGGACTGGCATAGATGTCTACATTGACCCCTGACCCCCCCGACATGTAGGCAGAGTGTTTGGGGATGTGTTTGATCTCGAGTTTAGAGGCTTCTAGGCTTCAGGTAGGAAGTCGGAGGTACAAAAAGTCGGAAGAAAGGGACTTCAAGTGAGCTGGATTCGCCATGACTGGCACCGGTGAGTAAAAAAACGCGCCAGTTGTGACCACAAGATTCAGTCCAACTTGCTCGACCGCATCGAGCAGGAAGACCACCAATTTTCTAGGCTATACTTATGGGGCCAATGCATATTCTACTGCATGGCCTACTGCAAACAGCTTGGCTTTCTATTTTGCTGCACCAAACGTCACTTCGAACCAAGTTCGTCACCGCGCGTTCCGGCGCGTTCCGGTGCTCCGTTCGCCTCCCCCGGCCCCGCCGAGGTACAGCACCCAAAACACCGAGCGGATGCAGAAAGGCGGGCCGTGACCCGCGACGGTCGCGCCGCCCGCGACACGAGCGACTCGGTTTGGAAGGAAAGTCCCGATGACATAGAATAGATATGAATAGATAGCTGCTAAGAGCTTGACTGAATCATGCAATCTTGAAGCATACACCAAGACTCTCACCTCAGCTTCCATCCTCACCCTCCGCCACCCTCCATTCCCAAGTCTTCCTCCCCGTCCATCCGCAACAAAAAACAACAGAGACTCGTCCCCCAAATCCGGCACTTCACCCCGCGCCGCTGCTGCGGAAAGCCTTGCGCCGTTGTTTCGCGCGCCGCAGGCAAGGACATGTATGGCTTCGAGCTCTACGAGCAACGCCACGGCTTGCAGCGCGACGATGCCGAGGGACGCCGCGCCAAGTACCGACCCAACTACCAGCGCCCTGGCGGCAGATGTCAAGCAGACACGCGACACGACGCGAGACGGGGTTCGTATGGGTTTGGTAGCCGTTTCAGAGTGGTGCATGAGGAGGATTGGAGTGGGAACACACCCAACCCAACAAAGCAAAAACAACGCAGCCAACCCTACAAACCTGCACAACCGGGGCCGACCCATTCGAAAGGCAAGGTCTTGAGGCACACATAAGAGATTTTGAGGTGAATGACAAGAGTGGAGTGAAGCAACCGACCTTTGCAACCATTCAGCTACAAGGTAGAATTTATGAGGCTATGATGGGCTAATTATGTGTCTCTCTCTCTCTCTCTCTTTGTGTGTCAAACCCTATTCTCAGGTTTTCTTGACAGGTCTTCTTATGCTGTAAAATGAATCTCCACTGTTCTGCGCTTCTGTTGAGCTCCATCTCCAAGTGTGTCATGTTCCATTGAGGTTTTGGGGTGCTCCGGTTCTATTGCTTTTGAACGCTCCGAAAACTTCCTCCGCTGGCACCTTCATCGACGTCGGCTCCTACATGCAGCTGGGCGTGTTCGATGTGTCGCTGGAAGTGATGGACGGAAGTGTGATGTAGACTCTTGATGAATACCCCCCCCATTTGAATTGGAACACCTCTTTACATGGGGGGTTTGTAATCAAGAGTCTCTTGGTCTCTTGGGCTTTGTTTCTACGTCCCCCAAAGCCGATGTTGGTGGCGAGTTCACGGCATTGTTTGACTTAGGCGATGGAGTTGTCCAGCCTGTTTGGAGGGATCTCATTCTTCAAGCTTGGTGTCTTACTTATACGGTCTTGCGACCCACAGGAAGACACGGTCGTGCATGTACTTGCCATCCAATCCAGTGGAGTAGTCGAATCCACTTGCTCGACTTAGTAATTAGATGGTCCAGCTTGACTTCAATTCATTCAAGGTACAAACGAACTACACTCCTGACGAACACATCACATGGAAGTGGAAAAGAACCCGGGGGAAGGAGGAGACTAGCCTTCCACTTGAAGGTCAGTGAGTCAGAGTGCACACTCTCTGAAACTGGATGGCATGGCCGCGGATGGATGACCGCTTTCGGAATGCCAAACCGGTGGTGAACTCCGCTTCCATAATTGTTTCAGGGAGTGTAATCAACATTAATCAACCATATCAACCTCCAGTTGCCCCAAGCTGCCAAAATGACAGCCAAATCTAGTAGCCAATCTCCAATCCCAGAAATTCAAACGAACCCCTGTCATCATCCGATGAATTACCGCATAGTTGTACTCCCAAAAGCCGCCTCACCGGGTTTCAACTTCAGCGCTGCAGTCCTTTCCCGTTCCTTGTGTTCTTTTCCGTTTATTAAACCTGTCCTCCTCCTCAATCCGTCCTCCAAGCCCACGCTTTTTTTTGTGAGGTACGCCATCCTGGTGGCCATGCACGCGTACGGGCTGGGTGGAAAGCCCTTGGGCTCCGTGGCCAAGTTCACGGAGCTTTGCCGCGAGGTCTTGGGCCCCGAAGCCATGCCGGAGGACGGGAAATGGGAAGAAAGCAGAGATAGGTGGCACCACAGTGAGCTGCAGCTCAGTTCAAACTCCATTCATTGAGGTTCATGGCATCACGTCTCATCCAAATCAGGCTAAGACTTAGGGAAACTCTTCATGATTTGGGGATCCTTGACACACATGTTGTTGGTCATTTCATGTAATTGCACGGTCCTGTCCCTACAGCACGTTTAGCCTATGGTGTGTGTGTGCAGGATTCTTTGGGGCATTGAAAGGTGTATGACCAGCGGGAAGACAGAGGGTCACAGCCAAATAAAACCACTTGATTTGTACGTCAAGTGAAGTGCACAAAAGATCCAGAGGATCATCGTTCATCACTGCATCACATTTGGGAATGCAATTTGTACTCTTTGCCCCAGGTTTACCAACGCATCCGAAACCTGAAAACTAAGAACCATCCCCAAAAAGGATCCAAAAGCTTCAGACCATCCAAAAGCATCCAAAAGCCCAAACAAACAAATGGTCCCACTTGGCTCTGTTCACCACTGGAGCTGGATGAAGTGTCTTCCTGTCTTCAGGACGAACATTTGGTTTGCGGCCACCCGGACCGAAGGGAGGTGGGAACGGTGGTCACCGGTAGAGGAGTTCACTCGTCCGGTCTCCATCTGTTTTGGTAGCCGTGCTCATCCAAGACTGTACAAGACGTATTTATTGATGAACCCTCCGTGCCATGAGGTGTGATGCTAGCTGCTAGCTCACGTTCTCCTCAAGGGGGTCAGCACAACCGGACCAAGTGCTAGTGACTGCTTCCTTTTCCTATGTTTCGCGAGCTCATGCAAGAAGGTACCCATAGCTACCCTGCACACATGTTCTGGAATGTTCTGGACCCATTGGCTTTGTGTATCCCAAAATTAATGCCAAAAAGGACATGCCCTTGAAAGTCCCCTTGAAATCCCGTTTTTTTCAATGTTCAGAATGGCCACACTGACCACACCGTTGGCTGTCTTGACTCAATGGAGTTCGCCTCGGTCATGAGTCATGCCAGTCTTGCCTTCGTTCGCCAGTTCTGGAGTGAACACTGAACACTCCCTGGAATGATCATGCAGCATGCATACTATGCATGGCATGGCCTCGATGTCGGAGGAGCACTCGAACAAAATTCATCCTACCAAACCAGTGGTAATCAACCAGTTAATCAACCTCCAGTTGCCCCAAGCCGCCGAATTATATGACAGCCAATCTAGCCCAATCTCCCATCCAAGAACCCCAATTCCCACAAAACCCTGTCACCATCCGATGATTTACCGCATAGTTTTACTTCCAAAAGCCGCCTCACCGGATGCCGAGGCATTTGCATCGGCTGGCCCAGCGAGGGCCGTGATCCTCGGGAGTGGCCGGGCGATGGTTTCAGCGGGGAACAGATGGATGTGGAGCGTGTGGAGGAACAGGTTCTGCGGAGATGATCCCGGTTCCGGGAGAATTCGCCGAAATTTTCCCCCAAAAAGCAGATGAATGTGTTTTTTGTTATAGGAATTCTGTTAGTGTGTTTTTTTTTGACGAATTCGATCGGCCGCCTGAAAGCAACTCTCCGTTGTGTGTTTGGATGTCTTGGGACAACCTGAGAACTGAATTGATTGATCTTGGTGAAGGGATCTTGGTGATGTTTGGTGGGTCATGGCCCCAAGATGTTTATAGCTAATCCAGAAGTCACAAAGAGGTGGTGCTTAGTCCCTAAGTGAGTGAATAATGGGCACCCCGACTTCCTCCAAGTTCGGCACCCCTTTGTGACTCCTGGATTGTGATGTCTGGTGATGATCATGACCACCAGTCAGGCTCTCTGATGTTTGTGGATTCTGGTTCGGGAGAGACATGACTGGTGGCCACTTCTCGAGTTGAGTGCATCGATCGTGAGATTCTGTCACTCATCGTTTCGTATGGGTTGGTCGAGTGTTTCGCCCGGCCGATCGATATGCAACTGCCAGGCCAGCACATGCCCCAGTAGCGACTTGTTCCTAGTAGCGATGCCCTTTGCTCCTAGGAACCTAGTAGCTTCTTGCTCCTTGTAGTAAGGCCAGGAGCCCCTAGTAGCTTCTTGTTACTATATAATTTGATTAATTAGTTTAGAGGGTATCTCATTCTTGTCGGGATTCCCGTCCGCTGGACTTCTCTTAAGAGTTTGGCCGAGCGAGGACTCCAGACTGGTTCCCCAGCCGCTTGAGCAGTGATGAGACCACGCGCTGGGCGGTGGACGCGGACTGGGCCTAGTGGGCCTAGTGACCTCGTCCGGCCCAGCTCGGGAAGCCCATCGTCAGCGAGCCGAGATTTTCCACGGGGAAGAACCGTGTTTTCTTGAGGTCCCCGTGCGCACTGTGGATTTCCGCCCCGCGGTCGGGCCGTCATGGAGTGACGTAGTAGATAGTGAAGCCTGGCACAAGCTGTGCAGAAAGGACAAGGGGCCTCAACGGTTGAACAGGTGAACTCGGAGATTAGCAGTCAACCGCGTCAACTGTGGCGATTCGACAGCTTATAGCTACACCCCTCAACAGCTACACCCCTCATGGACTAATTAGCTGGCCAGACCCGTCGTGTGTCAGGCCAAAAGCTCCAGTCTTCAAGGCTCCAAAAGCTCCAATGGGGGGGTTTCTGATTGGCAACTGAAGAAGATTTGCTCAGCAGCTTCCTGGAACTGGGTCTGCTTTTTCACCAAAACCTTTTTCTGGAGCTGATTTGTGTTTGGACACCCCAGGAATCCTTGGAAGGTCCAAGTATACTTATAGACCCAGCAAAGCTGAATTTGACATATCGCTTTTTAGCTAATTAGCTAAATACCAAACCATCATTCTGCTTTCTTCAGTCCATGGCTGAACTTGACCCGGAGATCGACTGGCACCTTGGAGAGGCTGCCATTCCGAAAGCGGATCGCGCTGTTACCCTCCCGCGAATTTCTCGCAAAAAGCTGAGCGGATCTCTGGCAGATTGGTGGAGCAAACCTCTTTGGTGAGATCAGCATAGGTCAGCTGACAGAGCGCTTTTAGTGACCAACCCCCTTGCACTTGTTAGATTGATGAGTTGGCGGCTGCCGATGCTGGCGGCACGGGGTGCACTTCGGAACTCTCCGCCGCAACTTGCACATGTGATGCAAGCACCGGAGAGAGACAGATCATATGCCCAAGTTCCCCAACATGGCCCAGCCCCACCGATGAGTGGATGGAACACCATCCCCACATGCACCGTGCCCAGTCAGCCAACTTTCAAGTCACGGCTTTGGGTCCCTCAGAGCGACACTGAAGGCACTGAGACCGAGTTCCCCGCATCGAAGGATGTTAGTTCGCCCCGGTGCTCACGGCCATCTCACACCTTGGGCCCAAACGGAGCATGAGGACGCTAGAAACGGCCCCAGGAATAAGACCATATGTTCTTTTCACCAGCCCTGCTTCGCCCCGCTGCTTCACCTCGCAGGAGAGCAGCCTTGGCATCGCTGGAGGTGGGTTTCGCAACTCTGTGGGTCCGGAAGTTCCGTGGGTCGTGGGTACAGCTGAGACCGAGTTGAAAGGGCCGGGAAAGAACAGCAACAAAATTCAGGTGCATCTCTTTTCAACAAAGAGGCGCCCTCTCAAAAAGCTTCAGTATCAGGGGTGTCCACCACCTGAAGCTTAGGTCCTGGCCGCGCCGAACTTCCCGGATCGGATCGTCGTTTCGGCGGTTCTTCCAGCCGTGACCCTTCAGCTGGGCTGCGTTCTTTCCATTTCCTGCTTGGAATATCAATGGTCCTCGTAACCGGCCAAATATGATGAGACCTTGCGGATGTTTGAATGGTTGCTGATGAGCTCCCCAGTTTGGATGCCAGGCGGTCCCTTCCTTGGGCGACGAGGAGGTCAGACAGCGATGGCAGCAGCACATAGAGGTGGGGTCCCGCTGTGCTACGTAACAGCCCAAGGTCCACAGCTGCGGTGAAAGATGGTCCTACCTTTGAGGAGCTGTGCTATGTACAGCATGTTGAGATCCAGAGTTGTTGAAATGACGTGCAGGGATTCGGATCTTTCACAAGCAAGTATGGAAACTGCCAAATTTGGGGCTAGTGACGGTTCGGCTTTCTGAAAGTTGCCCTAGGGATCCGGTCGTATCTTCTCGGGTTCGGTACGACTGGACCCGGCAAAAACGACATAAACCAGTGTCGAACACATCACCGTACCTGAGGTTCGGTACGGATCCCTAGGGATGATGAGTCTTCTGCCAGAGTTGAAGTTTCGTAGGGAGGATGTCCACCATTCCACTGGGCTGTGCTAGTTTGTTGGTGGTCCACCCCCACTTGAAGGATCGAGGGCTCCTCAGTGCCCAACACCCATCACATATAATGTACATTGAGGAGATTTTGCAAACATGTGCGCAAGCCAACTCTCCTTAAAGTCGAACCAAGTCTTCTTTCCCTCCTTGCGCCCTGAAGAATTGTTTGGCCGCTGTCGTATCCCATTCAATATACCCACACGTGTAGCGAACCAGCCGCGATCAGAGAGTTTCTGGAAAATCACCTTCACAACCGCTGCATTGCTTGACGTCAATGCATTGACCACACAGGGACTTTGCCACTAAGGCCATCATCCAACGCTGAGAATGCTACATGTTTACATGCAGTGCACCTGAAGACACCTGAAGCGATACAGTTCATTTACAGACACTGTGCAAGCGTACAGTATACGTAAATCATGGCTTCAGGAGGGTTGTTTTGACATCCTTCGCTTGGCGGCAAGCCAGACAGAGGAAAAGGAAGGCACACAGTGGATTAAAACAAGATTCACCTAAAAGCACTGCTTTTTCGCCTGGACTCCTCAAAACGTGATAAATCAGTTCTTCCCCCCACGCCCCTAACGACCCGCCGTTGTGCTTCTCCAGGGCTCCTGGGATCCGGAGCGCGCGGCGAAGCGGATCCATTGGCTCATCAGTCGGTTACAGATGTGCCTCGGCTGAAGAGCGGTCAGCTGAAGAGCGGTGGGCCGGTGGAGACGAGGGTGTTTTTGAGAGGGATGGGAAGAGACGAAGTCAGATCGGTCTGAGAAGTGTTTTTTGTTGTTTTTTGACGGGAGGGGACTGGTGGGAGGGCTTTTGGGGTTGGGAGCGGTCTTGCTGTTGGCTGAGATGGCACGGGGCTAAGGGTTGAAGTCAGCTTTTTTCAAAGCACTCAAGTCTGCATTGAAATGAACTGATGCAGCCACGACTCCACGTCAGTATGGGTTGCTGTTTTGGGAGATGGCATCGCAAAAGAGTTGTCCAACTGGGAGCCCTATCTCTTTAGCTGTCACGGACCGGCAAGTTCACTCCATTTGGATGAGTGTAGCTTAAAGACGACTAGAAAGGGGTGCATGCATGGCTTTCGATCTGAAATCATTCCACTCATGCTCACAACAAGGAGCGGCGCCCCACGCATACACTTCGCCCCTGTCGGGTTCGGTCGGCTTCCCCACCACACCGAACGAGCGGCTCGGAACCCGGTGCCCTTCCGTTTCATGCGCCACAGGCAGGGCTTCAACCAACCGGAGGAGCCGAACGCTTTTGGGTCGAAGATCCCGGAGGCCGGACCCGGTGGAGAACGCGGCCGAGGTGGTCGGGCTTCCGCTTGGGAGCACCGGTGGGTAGAAGAGAATTGCTTCATGCAAAGAGGCAACTGCTGGTGGATAGCTTCTTCAATGTGACCTTTTTCAGACTTCCTATAGTGACCCAGTGAGGCTTAAGTGAACCTTCAACTTGGAGACTTTGAAGAACCAGGGCCTCGTGTCACCCAAAGAGTTGAATTTTTGAAGATAACTTTGCATGAGACGAAACAAAGAAGCAAGAGACCTGCTGAACGGAATCCATAGAAATCCATTCTACAAGTTGTCATGGTTTTTCATGTTCTTTTTGTGCGGGCGCTTCCCGGCAAAGAACCGCTCTCAGTTCGGGACCCTTCTCCGACGAGTGGGCAGTCACATGACATCGCGCTTGTTTGATGTCGTCAATGTCATCATTTGGGTCTTGACATATTAACACCATGTTAAGCTGGACACGTGTACAAACATATATCAATAGGGTGTCCTGCAACCAGGCCCCATCCTCCCGCAGAACTGCTCCGCTTGCTGGTCTCCGACTTCTCACACCCCAGCCGATCTCAGGCGCCACTGGCTCCACCTGTACAGATGGTTTGACACCCAGTGATTGGACGGGCGCTGCACCGAGGCCCCTCCGCTGCGGGGTCGATTGGATCTGGTTTTTCTCCGCAGGTTCGGATCAAATGGCATTTGTTTCATTGAGAAGGTCCGGATATCCACCCGGTCTCCACCGGTCTCATAAACCGAGAAGTCTGGAGGGCAGGGAGCCCACCGATGCTGGAAACTGTGCCGTCCTTTGTGCCGCTCCCCCAGCTTTGTGGACTCCTAGGCTGAGCTCTTGGAAATGGCCAAGAAGGTGCCAGCGAGTTCGGCACCGTGGGTCTAGAGTCTATTGCCCCATGTTTGTTTTGCTGCCTCACAGATGCCTAATAACATTAGCGGTTTGTCACGGTGTGTCCCAGTCCAAGAAGACGAGAGTTTTGCACCGTATGCGGGGACATCCAAACTTTTGGTCCAAATGTTCAACACATCAACCCCCCTGCCCAAAAAATAAACACACTGAAGGAAGGAGTCAGCAAGATGACCATGAGATTGGACATTGCCCAAACCATCATGGGAATATTTACGCCATTGCTTCGCTTCATTTCTGCTAGAACTGTTTGCTTATTATAGCTGGCCACCAGCTTCAAGAAGTTCGGTCCGTCCATCGTCTGGTGGAGGACCAAGCCCATCAAGTGGAGGTCCAAGAGGAGGTTGAGCCGGAGATGGAGTGCGGACGCCAGGAGGAAAAACCCTGGTCGGGGTGCAGCTCCTTCCGCGTACGGAGGGTTGATACTGTTAAGCATTCTTCTCCGGGGAGAAAGCCAGACATGGAGTGAGTGGACTAGACCTAAGATATCAGGGAGTCAAATGACTCTAAAGGCCTAATCATTTGCGGAGTGAGTGGAAACCTCGAATTTGGGGCCTCTTTTAGGGGGCTAGTTGGGCATGGGAGTTGGTGGATTGGAGCTGCAAAAGGGATTTGGCGTCGCTAATAGAAACAATTGGAACTGATGATGTTCCTTCGGGGCCACATCTTCGGTCCAACAGCTTGGCTTCGCCGAGTTCCCAGGCCCACGAGCGATGAGCGGGAGGAGAAGCAGGCGGATCTGAGCGAACGAAAGGGGGGATGATCTCTGTGTCGCGATCAAAAGCGAGGAGAGGAACCCATAGCGATCTCACTGCTTCTTCGAATCGCGATCTCGCTGGAAGTCTTTCACATCTCTCGGTGTCGAGCTGGACACTGCAGTGTCGGGGTGAGGAGGTCCGTCTCACTTCGAGAGTGTCCGCTTTCAGGTGAAGGAAGTGTGAACAACCAGCTTAAGCAGCATTTGAACGACAAGTAGACGAGGTAAGTGGACGAGGTAAGAAGGATAAGAGTCCGAGATGCAGTTCCAACCGGATTCCAACCCCAAGCCCAAGCTGATGGGGGCAAAGAGAAAAGGTCGACCTGGGACCTTTTGGAGATCCAACGATCTTCGATGTCTCGGTTTCGTGCTCCGCCTCACCCAGGCCTTTGATTTCGACGGCTGGACCCAGGAGCTCTGGCCATGTGCAGACGCCGGGGGGGGTTGGAATGGGTTGGATGCCCTCAAACAGTCCGAACCACATACCGAACCTGAGCTACGGTGAGCAGGATGCTTTGGAGGACGTACCGAAGTGAGCCGTGGATCGGAATCCTTAGTCCTAAAGAACCACACCTTGGATCCTGCCCCACATCATCCTGGACTAGCGTGTCCTGCTTGGAGATCCCTCAGCTAGTCGGCTAGTCTGGACAGGACGAGCGACTCCACGAGACGGAACGCGGTCTCGGTTGAGACGTGTTTTTGAACCGTTTCAGTGGGAAACGCGGTCGTTGAAAAGCTGCCCTTTCACTGGAACCACGGGCAGAAGGGCGCACTCCAGGGCGTGCCTGCCTCTCCTTTGAGTAGCGCAGGTGACCGCCACTTGGGACATGTCGCGTACCGAGCTAGTGGGTGATCTGTATAGAGGCGGGTGCTGGCGGGTCCGGTGATTGGCACCACACCGTTTCCCGATACCTGATGAAAGGTTAACCCATACCTGGTTTGGAGCTTTGAGTGCCATGACCCACACAGGGATATGTACAACAGTCGTTGGACTTGAGGGTAGGCCTTCTTTCTCAGGCCTTGCCCCAACTGAAGGGTGATCGTGTGATGATCATGTCCTGTTCGTGGGTTTGCGCAGCAGGTGGTCGTCGCACACATGTAAAAAGAATTGCTCACCAAGATCCCACACGTGCTTCAGGTGTTGGGTTTTTCAACGATATAGACCCCCAAATAGCGATAGTATATAGTTGGTAGTATCCCCACTTAGAAATGTATTGGAAACCGTGCCACTATTTGATATCACTATCTGTTTGGGGACTACTGTATCCCTAAAAAATCATGTTGTGCCTCCCAGAGTCCAGGGTGTAGCCTGGACCGTCAGCGGCTGCGCGGTCGGCCGACATGGTGTCGTGGTGCGTGAGCCTGGTCTATGGCTTCCCAGCCTTTGGCTTTGGTGCGGCCACAGCCACTGGTCGCAGACACGTTGATCAAGTTCATTTGGGGTTTGGGAGGATTTCGCTGGGTGGGGCAGGGATTCGTCCGTCTTTGGGGTTTTTGACGTTGCTCCGAGCCGGCACGTTGCTCCGGTTCCAGTCCCGATCCACTGGACGATGACTCGGATCGGTGGACATCGCCGCGAGTCTCATGGTATTGGGTTATCTCTTTTAGCTGGTATTGCTGACCTCATCACCAAAATTCAGTTGACCTACTGTAATTGGATGTAATTGGTAAAGCATGGTAAAGCTGCATTCTTCCGGCTTTTGTGAGGCATGTTTGAAGAACACTGAGATTCATCGGTCGCCCCGGCTCAAGAGGAGAGGAACGCCTGAACAGAGAGCGAAGATCGCCTGTCACCAGCCTCCACCACCACGCACAGGGTCGTACAGGGAGATGGGTCGGGTACCAGGAGCGCAGGCCATGAAAGGAGACCACTTCGCGAGTTGTGCACCTGTGGGGCCCTTTCTCACGTTGCCGGTGACCAACACCAGGACGCTGAGAGTTGGGTTTTTTCTCATGCTCGCTCGGGTCGCATCGGCAAAGAAGGTAGTGTCCGACAGGATCCAAGAGATGGGCTAATATGGCATAATGGCATGATCCTATCTCATGACGTGGACTGCTTTTTGATTTGAGGGGGTCTTGATAATGGCTTAATTACAATGGCTTTATAATTAATTGAATTGGGAACATGTTCGGAACCATCCTCCTATGCCTCAGCATGCCTCGGCCCGCAGGATCACCTTGTCTCTGGACCCTTTGCTGACCTCCAGTCATGGATTCCAGGCGTCGTGTTCGCCAGCCGTGGCGCCGTTCCGCCGTTCGGACTGGAAGCTGCCAGTGACAGGAACCTGATCCCAAAACCTCACCCCCCAAAAAGTGTGGGTCCGGTCACAAGAAATCACGTGGTATAGTCCAACAAGTGCCAGATTGGCTACTGGGAGATCAATCCACGCCCCAACGTGGAGGGTCGAGTCTACTGCTCGGTGTTCTCAGGGTCCCCGGCCTGGGCCTTGGGAGTGTTCGTTTTCCCGCCATCCCCAACGATCGGTTTTCAGGTGCTTCATCCTCCAGATCTTCCACGTTGGATCGTGACATTGAGCCCGATCCCAATGCACATGGATATGAAGATTGAAGAATTGCTCAAGACCTTGGAGGTGAAACAGATGAAGAGGATCTCCCCAAAGGACCGTCAAATGACGTACTTGCCGCGAAGAAATCATTTCCATTTAGAACTTCATGTACCAAAAATAGAAGTTAGGGGAAAACCCTTGGCGCACATGGTTCATGTCATGATGTTCTGTTTCTTTTCTTGGATCTAGCCACAAGTCTTTTGGGCTCAGATCCGCTCCTCAGATTGTTCTTTGAGGAGATCCATGTGCCCGTGAGCTCCAAGAAGATGGCCGTCAGTCTCAAAGCTCTCAATGGCATGACTTTCGGTCAATCCAAGCTGCAGGTCACCATGCACGCAGCGAGCCTTCCTCCGGATGGATCAGTGACCTCACCCGGCGCCAAAGCACATGGCCATTTGATGCCCCAGACGCCCCCGAAGACGACCGCCGCGACGGCGTTGAAGATCCTCGAGCCGGTGCAAGAAGACGCCGAAGAGTGGGCGAAGTCATTGATGCGAAGGTTGTTGGCAGAGACGTGAGTGTCGGCCTCACTGAGAGGTCGCGTCATTTAAGGACGGCTTTAATGGCACACCAGGAAGAGCACACCAGTTGTGTTTGTATAGATCTGTTGTGTCTGTGTATTTTATGTCTCGATCTGTGTATTTTATGTCTGCACAATCACTCTTACACTCTTGAGGGATGATCAAAATCGCAGCGCAGGGATCGTTGTTGTGCAAGTCGTGCTTGAAAATAGACATGGCTACACTCACCAAAGCTTAATTAGCTTGGTTCTTCTTGGAGTTTCCATGTCCAGGCAGGACAGCTAATTTTGATCAGCCTTCATGTTGTACATCCGCGTGCGCCGTGCTGATTCTGGCAGAGACGGGTCGCGGGCTTTTGCCCTTCCGAGCGGCTTAGCGTTTCTGCGACCTGATCAGCCGGGGGAGTCACGCATGATGATTTCTTATTGGTGCTCTGGGGAGCCGCCAAATCCTTAGGTGAGCGAGCGGGCAGAGTTCTGTGGCATCACGTGGATTCGTGGATTCAAGTCCGTTGGTACGACCGTTCCATATCAACAAAGCAAGGAAAACCCACCGTGTGAACAAGAAAGGAATCGATCACCATGAAAAAAGAACTCAATTGGAAGCAGATCTTGGGTTTTCTCAGCACCCAAGGTTTTGTCCGCTCAGTCTCACCAATCTGTGCAGACTTGACCCTCGACGACGCGACGCTTCGAACGCGGCGTCGAGGGACGTTCTTTACGATGCGAAGGACCACGGTAGCGACGACGAAAGATGGGACGGGACTGGACGAGGCGGACCCTACTGGGCGACATCCATTGGTTCAACAAGTGACCGGATCAATGCAGTTCCTTTTTCAAATCTATAGGGGGTGTCCGCTTCAGCGTTGGGTTTCTGACCTGTGCAAGTCTATGACCCACCAGCATCCTCTGTGACACCGGTCTCGGGGCCACAAGTCGTTCTCATCCATCCGAGTGCGCCCGGGCTTCCCCCGCAGATCGGTCCGGCGACACCATCGACCCCCGTGAAATGGTCACGATTCCATGCTGTCGTCCATCCGAGTCCACCCACTCGCATCAACCCATCAACATACATCAACATACCCATCCTCATTTTTGGTCCCTGGCCCACCGCGCTGCTCAACCCCCCAACCACAGTCGCCGCACAGTCGCTGGCTGCCGGCAGAAAGGCTCTGCGACTGCACCAGGTGATGATCAGCCTCTTTCTACCGGCGCTCTACGTGGATCGCCTGGGCGTTCCCTTGAGCCACATTGGCTTCGTGACCACGGCGGTGCAGCTCTTCGACGCCGTCACCGACCCGCTGATGGGATACCTCTCGGACCGCGCGGTCGAGCGGTCGAGGGTGGCGAGAGGTCCGTGAGCGAGAGCTTCTTTGGCTTTAAAAAGGCATCTACTAATAAGGCTTCCTCTCCCTGGAATTAATATGATGGTATACCTACTATTGAATGACCATGGATCAGAGGCAAAAAGGAGATTGTTAGTGCACAGAAACGGTGTTGAATACTATTCTATACTAACATCGTGGAAGGCGCGGGACATTCGTAGAACTCAAGGCTATTCGTGGACAGTTAGTGGAATGGTGGGCCAGTAGGAGAACTGACTGCAACGAAATCCCAGAAACCTTCGCAGAACTTCGTGGAAGGTATTTTTGATGCACTAACTTCGTGCGATTTTTGCTGACCCCCTTTCTCCACACACCCTCCATTTAGCCTTCAATGGAAGTGGAAAACAGAACAAAAACTTGTGTTTGTAGAGGATTTCATAGTCTTCTGAGAGGCAATGCCATCCACTTCCGTTCGGCGTGTATGACTAAGACACAGAAGATATCTCGCTGGTGGCGAGGATCTGCGTTAGAGAAAAGGATCAGAATCACTGATCGCCGATCGTTCTGTCTTTTTTCATTTCGAAGCCTCAAGGGTTCCCCACATCTTCACTCAGGAAGCTTCGATTCCCAAACGCCAACCACGCATGTGATCCAGTAGTTCCAGTATATTCCGGGGGTACCGAACGAAAGGAGCATTCCAAGGTGCCCATATTGTGCCGGATCCACTATAGATGGATGGGACAAGCCACACACGGATCCAACTCCATGGAGACGAAGGGGTTCCTGTTTGGCACAGCATCGCCTTGTGCGCGCAGCCCACGCGCGACGCGGCCAACGCGCAGCACGACCAGCTTCGCACTCTCCTCCTCTCCGCAGTGGCAGGATCGTGCCCAGTTCTCCTCGGGGCGTCGGAGGCGAATCTGCAACCCGCGCCGGTGCCTGCGTGTCGCACGCGCGCTCCTCCGTGGCGTTCCCCTGGCAGGGCTCACCGCCGTCCTGGCCGTAAAGCCCAAGCAAAGGCTGAGCTGCATTTAGCAGCACAAACAATGACAAGCAGGAAGAAACCGGAAGAGAAGGAAGACCAATAAGAAGAAAGCTTGGTGGTTGATAGGTATACGAAGAGACTCCATGGCTTGTGGGAAGTCGAAGCTGGAATGTTTGATGGATTGCTGTTTGGAGAAGGCTTGTTTTGTTATCCCATGAAACCTAGCGGCCTCCAAAACTCCACGCTGTGGAACTTGACATGTTTTGTTAAAAACATGTTCTTGACCGGGGCCATCCTGGTGTTTGATGTCGGAAGGGAAACTGGACTCCGCTTTCTGCGCGCTTTCTGCTGGTGCGTACTTTGGAACAAAGAGTGAGGAACCCAGTTCGTTCCCATTGTTTTAATGGTCGAACGGAAGTCTAGGGGCACCCAAACACCTGGAACACCACCTCCTCGGTTTTGGCGGAGAGAGCTCGCTTTTTTCGCCCGGGCTCAGACGCGTCACGCGAACGCCGAAAACGGGCTCAGACGCTGTTTATAAAGGTTCAAAGGAAACACATAAAGAACGCATGGAAGAAAGAAAGCTGCCAATTTGGTATAGAGACATGGATGAAAAATAAAACACCCACACTCACCGTTTGACATGCAAGAAGCAATACCAAGCCTGAGGATCCATCGAATGTGAAATACATCAACCTAAATTATGCCTGAAGAGGGCTGGGATGCCTTGACTTTTGGCCTCCCCAAATCAGAGCCTGCCGTTTGATCAACACACCTTAAAACCTTCATTCGGTCACCCTTCGAGTGGATCAAGCTTGGCCGCTTTTTCCTCCTTCAGCATCCGCTTTCCGTGTTTTGGTCGACACCGCCGGGCCGAAGCGCCCTAACTAGAGAGAACCGAAGCGCCCAAATCGGCGCGCGCGAGCCGGTGATCGCCGGTGGAGGCCTTTCATGTTGCTGGGGTCCTGGTCCTTGGCGGCCAGCTTTGTGGCACTCTTCGCGCCACCCAAAGAAGGTGCCTTCCCGACGTATAGGTCGAGGTGTTGAGATGTTGGTAGGCGGACGGTTAGTTTGGGCTTTGGGATGTTCTTTTTGGGGTGGCACGCTTGGGTCGATTCTCTTGTTGTTTTCCTTTAGCATTGATTTGCACTTCTAGATGAAGATGTGCTTCGGACATGTTCAGATTGTGGGCCCACTGAACATGAAAAGGGGAGAACTTCTGTGACTTGAGAAGACAAACTTCTTATCACGAAGCCTGCAATAGCCTAATTATTCGACTTTGCACCTATCAGCTAGGACTAAAGTCTCCTTCGTTAATCATTCTGTCCCCTGAACTGCTCGAGCATTGAGGTGCTGGAACCGCCTTAGCCTGGGCAACGACCTTCGCGCTGCTGACACAGTTGGGCCTCACCTGCGCACGAGTTCCGTGGCTGGCGTGGGGCATTGAGCTCACGAATGAGTTGCCGGGCGGAGCTCAGCATGGAGTTTTTGCTTCTTTTTTTGTTGTCGGCTTTCCGTGAGGCTGGAGCTCAATGCATTGCAAGCTGCTTTTGTTGAAGTTGAATGGTTAATAATATGGATTCCAGTTGTCCGTTCTTCGTATACATGTCACATCTGGCAACATCCGAGGTACGACAAGAAGACCCGCCTGGCGCCTGGTGCTGTTTCAGCCATGAACAGTCGACGGTTTGCCCGTTTACCCCGAGAAAGGGAGATGGCCATAGCTTCTAACCGCATGTGTTTGATGTTTATGCGCCCAAAAATCATCAGAGAAGGAAGGTTTCGATTTGCAGCCTTATTTCGGATCCCAACTGTTCAAAAGACGCCAGCCCCTCGGGGTCTTACGCTTCGTTCATCCAAAACACCGGTACTTCGGGTTCGGAGACCCCGTGTCCAACCAGTTTCGACGCAGAGGAAGAGAGAAACCCTAGCCTTCGGTTCGACCGAAGGCTCATCGGTTTGGTGATGTTTGGTGCCTATAGGCCTGGTATGGCCTGGTCGTCCAATTTCTTGGTCCTCGGTCATCCACCGAGTTCGGCTCTCCAAGAGTGGTTGACAGTCCGTGTGCCTTTGTTTTATGTTGTACGCTATATATAAACAGCCCGGAGACCATGCCACATGTTTTGCGCACCTGCAAATTTGACGCCTCGCAATGGAAAGGTGTCCTTGAGAGAACTCATGCGGCTTGCCTGCAAGAAGTGTTTGTAGAACTATAATATACTTTTTGCAGAGGGCATTTATATATAGATTTGTGCAGTAGAACAATCAGATGCTTTCGATCACCCTCAATCAGCTCAAGATGTGGGAGGTTCAACCAAGACCAAGCCACCCAAAATCTTTGGGTGATCGCAAGTGGGGTTAGAGCTGTATATGGAGGCCATCCTTTTGGGTCGCAGAGACCACACCGTTTGAAGAGGGGACAACCCGACAGATTTGTGTACAGTGTACAGCGCACTATTGAATACCAACCAAGAGTAAGAGTACCCGAGTACCTGTAACTGGTCATTTGGTCATTTACATCCAATAGTCTTTTTGCGCGGGTTGTGGCGTTGTTGCATCTTTGAAGATTTGCAATTTTCAACATGATGATCCAGACATTTTTCTTGGGCAAACTCCTGAATGCCTCCGCAACAGGATTCCTCACGGAGAAGCTTTATAGGACTTGGGAGTAGGTGAATGTTTGTCTCCCTCATTGCTGGGCATCCTTTGGACACATCTTATGCTTGCCCAAGTCCAACCAACCAATTGACATCCCATTTGCATCCATGTTTTTTTCCAAGTGACGAACCTTCGTTGCACCCGCTGGTTAAAGCCCCCATCCGGTGTTCTTCACCAAAAGCCACCGCGCCGCTGCTTGGGGCTTCCAGCGTTCGCGATCCGATGGCGAAGATCTCCAACACCGAGCCCTTAGTGGAGACGAACGCGTCGCTTGGAGACCAAAAACCTGAGTGAGAGAGAGAAACATATATATAATATATATATATATGACAGCGACCCCGAAGTCCTGTGATGTCCTGTGTTGCATGTGTTGCATGTGTTGCATGTGCGGGATGACCGACCTTTCCAGCGCCCGACACCGTCCAGCGATCTCGCCACACGAGGGTTCGCCACTCGAGGGTTCGCCGCGGGCGCCCGGGATGGAGAGGACACTAAAGAATACAAAAGGGGAGTAGTGGGAGTATACAGCTCAAGTGCGAAGACCTCTTACAGTCCACTTGTTTTTCAGGTTGCCGCTCTTTGACTTCATTGATTTGCGCTGGGAAAAGGAAAAGGGGAAGACAAAAAGGGACTTGAGGAGAAACATTACTTGGAAAAAGCCATGTGCAGCATTCCCTGATCCTCAGTGCTTTCGACCGCGGTCCGCACGGACAGGTCCGCGTGGTCCGCGCGTTCGGTGCTGAGCGCAGAGGTCGGGGGTCTTGAAGGATGACGCGAAGGACTTGGAGTTGAATCGCTACACTCCACGCGATGGAGTGGTTTCTCGGCGGGAGAGGATCTTAAGCACATAAGATATCATAAGTTATAAGCATATGAGTATCAATATAAGCATATTGTGTTGCTAATGTGCCATAATATATTTACCTGATTCATGTGTATGTCCTGTGCACGTCCTGGAAGTTGGATACTTGTTGATTGGATAAGTTGGATGTTGTTGGATTGGATATTTAGGCACACTTAGAGGATGTGATTGAGAGAACATGCGTTTGTTCCTCGGTGCTTAGATGGTAGCAGTAGGAAGAGAAGTACACCAGCACCCACCTGCAGGTTGGCATGTCGACTTTACAAGTTTTCAACAAAACAACATGGTTTGCCTACACTTGCCTGAAAAGCAAGGGGCTCTTGCCATGTTGCCACTTTCGGGAGATGCCAAGATGTGCCTTGTTTTGACACCTTGGTCTCTTCCACTCCACCTGCACAGCACGATAGCCAAGTGCACGCTTGGTGGCTCGTCGCCCGCCCCCCGAACTCGCATCGCTGCCTCCCTCGAACTCACACCGATCGCTTCGCTTCGCTGATCAGGTGTGCGGATCGATTATCCTTTGGTTTCTGATCCCCATCTTCTGGGACTGGACCTTTGATTCTCCCAGCTTCCTGCGCCGTGCGAGCACCTCGGGACGCGAAACGGGCCACGCGAAACGCGTGGGCAGCGGCTGCCAGACACCGTGCGAACCGTCTTCCCCCCAAAAATGGACGTCTCAGTCTCAGGGCGTTTCCTATTTTTGTGAAGCTCGGACCGGTGGAAGGGGATGCCGATGAAACCCCCTTCATGAAGTGCAGATTGGAGCCCGATCTGCTGTTTAAACATTTCTGCAGCTGGCCCTTTTTCAATTTGTCATATATTGATCGTACTAGTACAACTTTACATTGCCAGCATCACCAAAGACTTCTTGATTCAATGACTCCTGATTATTTGTCCTTCTTGGTGCATCCCGCAGGCACAGGCGCCACCATCTTCCTCATGGCTGCAGCCTTCAACTTCTACTTCGACGGCACTCGCCCCTCAGCTGCGGCGCTGGGGGGCTGGCATGGCCCCGATGGATCTCGGAAGACCAAACCGGTGGTGAACTCACTCACTCCACTTCTCCACTTCTCCATGATGTTTGGTTGGGGGAGTGCTGCAGTTGAATCAGGGGTTGAACCAGGTTTGTGTTTACTGACGTGTGAATGATTCTGCTGTGTTCTTTCAAGAAACATGGTTAGAGCCTGGGTACTTTCGCCAGATTCTGGATGAGGATTCACAAGCAACCACTCAAAACTTAAAGCCAGCAGTTGGAATGCATCCCACCTGCTTTGAACCTGCTTGCTGAATGGGCGCGGCAAGAATCAGCATCCAAACTAGGTGTCCTTAGTAAAGATTCCCGTCAGCTTTGCTTATGCTGGCTGACGCAAGCCAAGTGGCAAATAAGAACACAAGATTCCACACTCTCAGATTCTGCCATATCATTGGGGTACATTGGTTGGGTCTGTCCTATTACCTGTAACAGTCAGTAAACGATTACATAACTCTTTTAGAGAGAGGCCTTTAGTAACCATCATCATCCACTGTTACAGGTCTTGGGATAAACCCCATACATTGGGGTATAAGAATTGCATACATCAAGCTCAAGTTCACCGAGGCTTCACATGGAAGATGTGGATGGATGTGGTCGCCGTCTTCGTGATGATGAGTGTTTATGCAACCCGCGCATACTACCAGCCACTCAGGTGAAAAGATGAAAAGAGCCACCTATCCGTTTAGGCTCCAAGAGAGGGATTCCGGAGGAAGATCCAGCATCCAGTAGGTTTGCAGGTTGGCAGATTACAGGGTGCTGGTGACTTGAAGCATTTGAAGAAACCAACCCAAGAAGACGACCCTCTTCGCATAAGGCCACAGAAGATCCTACTCATCGGCGTCCTCTTCATCAGCGTCACAGGCTTTTTCGCCTTGAAGCCAGGCTGTCACAGTGTGATGAAAAACCACAGCCTTGGCATCACCGTACGGCGGCTTTTGGTGCCAAAAAACTTCAACAGAGTGGTGTTCTGAAAAGGGAACTGGTCCCCAACATTATTTGCTGCATTCATCCGAAAGCGACGAACGCGACATATTCCGAAGCAATTCCGAAACAATCCCGAACCATTAGAACTGCGGCTTCGCAGTTCTTAGGAAAACTGCTCACATCCGCTCACCCCCGAACTGGGAAGACCGTGGCAACACGAACGGCTCCGCACTGCGAGAGCGGAATTCCTTCCGCCCTGCGAACAGCAAGGGCTGCCAAGCACAACCAACTATGAGTGATTTCAATCCAACCACATAGTGACACATGAGTGACACAGGGTTTGGATTTGCGTCACTCTCTCTCTCTCTCTCTCTCTTTGTTTGTCTCTTTTGTCTCAAGTTCCGTCCGGACTGGGTGAGACCGAGGAATGGTGTGCAGATCAACTGGTCAAAAGGCATGGCGAACGTTGGATTGGAGCCTTGACCGGGGGAGAAAAGTTGTGGGTTTTGGGATGTTTTTGGTCTTCAACGAACAAAACGGCGGTGGACAGGACTGAAGAAAAACCTGGTGTGCTTTGAAACCGGTCCTTTGACACCGATCCGATTCCAGTCTAGGTCCGCGCGGCGGGATTTTTGCTGATTCCGCCCGAAGTCGCAGCCGAGGATTGGATCCTCAGCTTCATGTCCTACCGCCACTGAGCAAGAAATAGACGAGAAACGATATGTAAACCCTAAGAGTGCAGCAGCATCCACTTCGACCATGAAAGTACCTGGACCTTATGGGAAACCCTTACAATGATCATGACCCTGGTGTGCCTCCCAGAAATTTGGATCCCGCAGAGGGGCCTCGCCACCCCCCAGCCATGGATCTTCTCCTCCATGGTGAACCCCACACTCGCTTTCAAATGCGACGAACGCCCAACTTGCAAGAAGAGCCATGTTGAGTGAACCAAGTCTCAGCCAGCTTTTCGCTTCCTCAAATTGCTCATCTTCGATGTTTGTGTTGTTTTCGATCCGCTTTCCAGGCTGGTCGGGGATCTTGGCTTGTTTGACCATTGCCTCTGGAGACAGTTCTCATCCGGTCACCCTGACTCAGACACTGGGCGAGAAAACGGCCTGACTTTGAGACGGGCCAGGGAGGAGGGGGTGAAGTCGGGGCGAGGCGGGGCGATCTTCGGTCAATTCGGTCCGGTCCGGGCTGGAGCGAGCCGGGCGAGGGTTGGGGGGGGTTAGAGTAGCCAAGGGCGCCATGGACGGCCTGCTGCCGTCATCTCGGGGAAGAGCCTCGCTATTACTGCGATATAGTAGCTTCTTGTTACTAGTATAGCGATGCACCTCATCTACTAGACCAGATGAGGTGCTTGCTGCACAGGAGCGAAGAAGTACAGGGCATTCACTTCGAAGGTTCGGATAGCCCCCATGATGCTATCCCTGACTGTCAGTACCAACGCGCCCGGGTCGTCAAAAGACCTCCTTGACCATGTCATGCTTTCCATTCAATCCTCTCTGGATGGTGCTGGTCAAGAATTGATCCCCAGGGCACTCAATCGTTTTCCTCGGTCACTTAGGGTCGTCGTACTGACGGTGATTTACTACGCGCATTCCTTGTTCATGTGGCATCAAGCGAGCATCTTGAACGTGGAGAGGAAGCAGGGCGGACTCACTCGTGCCTGGCCCAGGACTCACTCGCGGCGTGCTTGGTCTCAAGACCGCTCGGGAACCGCCTGGAAGGTCATGTGAAGAGAGTTTATTTTTTATTCTCATAAGAAGTTGCTTCCACTCCCCAGTCCTCTAGTAGGTCACAAGCCACGTATTCAGCCAACCTCCATGCTCCTGCTGCACCTGCCTTGTTTGGTGGTGATGACAGAAAGCCCAGATCCAACCGACGGCGTCAAAGCACGGATCCAACCAGTGCCGGGGCAGGCAAAAACTCACACTTCGATGGAAGAGCCAACCCAAATCCCTCGAAAGGGTTCGAAAGACGAATGAACTATAACCCCCTAAACCTAGGGCGTTCGGGTCTATGGGAAAGTCCGTAATGAGCGTGCAGCATTGGCCAGGCGTTGCATGCCCATGCCCTTGGCCATTTGCACCCCCAGGTTTGGTTGCATTTGCTCGAGTATATATATACCCTCAGCGACCAAACCCCTACTTTTTGTAGGGTTTGCACTCAAACCCTGTGTTTCATGACTTCCATGATCGAAACCCAGGGTTTCGATTCGAAAACCCGGTTTTTCCCAAAAGACCGGGTCAGCTCACGCCACGGCCCTGCCCAGGAGCTACCGCAAGCGACATCTTGGCTTGATGCGTGGTGGGTTCATTGTTTTTTTGAGCACTTCCATAAATTAGTGCATTCGATGAACCACGTATTGAATGTTGAGTTCATGCTTCAACACCCTCATAGGGGAACAGAATGCTTATATAAGTTCTTTGACTCAACTACTCCATTTACAAACCATGTAACCGTTGCGAATCACCAACTTCTGCTGGCGCAATGGCGCTTTTTCCCAGATGCTCCACACAGTCCGGGTCCCCGGTACAACGGATCGAGTCAGAGGCAGCCAGATCCTCGCGAGCTTGGACATGCACGCATGTTTCTCGTTGCATTGCATGGTGGGATTGAACAACCCTCAGCCCGTTTCGAGTTCAAACATGGCAAAAACAAAGCATGGTGTGATCAACAAAAAGCCGGCGGCGGAAGTGCCGGCGGAGAGCAATGGTTCTGAAGCCGCCGAGGGGTCTTCGAAAGGGTGTTCCATCTCCGGGATCGCGAGGGAATGGGATGCAATCGAGGATGTGAAAGCAAGGCTTTTGGATGGAGGGGCCCCTTTGGACCCAAAAACTCCTTCCAAAACGGTTGACAACAGTGTTTGTATGATGAACCAGGCATTGCTTGAACCAATCCTTCAGCGCATGAGCCTACTTCCTAAACGACCTATCCCTACAATCGATGACTTACGAGATGAGGTGTCAGCTCTCATGACCTTGAGCAAGCGCCAGGGAAGTGACATCGTTGCAGTTGTTGAGGAGGCAGCCCAGACCATTAAGAGACTGCTTGTCTTCGTCAAAGCCAAAACGCGCAGGTGGGAAGTCTCCACAGCCACTTGGCTAAACCAACAATGTCTTGCGCTGGTCATCAAACATGTCCTTATCAAAGATCGAACTATAACTGTTTTATTGTGAACAGCTATCATTTTATATAAGAAGGCATGCCAAACACATGCTGAGCTTGCAACGCATGTATTTAACGTCATTGTTTCTTCGGTTGGTAAGCATGCATGTGTGTGTGTTTAGAGCGTGAATTACCTTTCCCAATGTTTGACTGTTTGGGCCCTCTTCGGTTTCTTGGACGTGCTACTCTGATGCCTGAGGCTCCTGAGTTTCAGAACCTTTGCCTGACACTCGACCCCATGCTCCAGGCTGAATGCATGTTTAGAACCTGTCGTGCATGTTGGTTGAGTCAGTTCATGGACATCAGTGGATGGACTGAATGTCTGTCATTGTGGTTGCTGTTGTCTCATGCATTTTGCGCAGTGTGTTTTCAGCGCCCTTGCTTTGTGAAGGCCGAAGTTGACAAAGTGAACGCCAAAAGGAAAAGGAAGGTGCCTGAGCTTTCTCGGGGGTTGATGCGCACTGGAGGTGTTTGTCGGTTTTATCAACGGGCTTCATACTCCTTGCACGTTGCTGTTGGCATACTGCAATTACCGTCATTTCCATTGAACCCGGTCCATGCGAGTCCTGTTCTAATCCACGACGTTGATTAGCTCAGGCAATCACTGAGCAATCAGATGATGATGAGGATGCTTGGCAGGATGAGGGACAGGAAGGGGAAGAGGAGGCTGCGGAAGAGGTTGCTGAAGATCCATTGGTTGATCCAAGTGAAATTCCAAAAACTAATGAAATCAACGGGAGTGAGAAAGTGGAGGATGAGAAACCTGAACAAGTCGAGAAGGAACAACCAGTGGCCACTCTTCCAACTGATCCGGCCAATTCAACGGAGAAGGCTGTAGGTTTGGGGGCTTTGCCAGCAGCACCGCTGTCATCGTCAATGGAGACGGCCCCTGCCCCACCAGCAGTTCCCGAAGCTGCGGGTCCAGCGCTTTCAGAAGAGAGCCCCTAGACTGCAAGGTTTTGCCGTTTGCATCTCGAATAAATGATCTTATATTTAAGTCAGTCTGTGCATGCCACAGGCAATCACTTGAAATGCAACATTGCGCACTGTCGGGGATGTATATAGTCGGTATAATAGGGATGTCCAACCATCATTTCATGCAAGTTGAGGTAAGAAGGCAGAGATGCGAAGGAAACGTGAGGAGATCGAAGAAAAACTCCGATTGAGTTTTGGCTGCGTTTGTTTGGTACGTGCGGCTTTCAGTTTCATGCGACATCACTCGCACACAGGGGCTATCAACGGTGGGGACAAGATTATATAATACTTTAAATGCGTTTCACATCTGAGGTTGCGAGCGAGAAAGGAGTCAAATAAGAATGTGCCAGATCCACTCTCTTTATCTCCGCCAGTTTCGGGCACCACTGCAGGAGAACACTGCGTGAAGTCTTTTTAATACTGAGATGCAACATGTGTACTGGCCAGTGTGCATGTATACGCAATGATCCATAAACTGGACATATATGTTATATATATCCCGTTTTTTCTATGTGCTTCTTATGTGCTGAGTCAACATTAAATCATCTTTGGATTTGTTTAGGAGCTGGCCCAGCTGCTGCTGTCACTGACATGCAGGACACCTTGCCTCTGCCAACCGATATCTGTGCTCTACCCGTTCCGCCGGATGCAATAGGAACTCGCTCCCCTGATGTCCCAGCCAGTGCAAAGCGTGAGTCATACCAGATCAAAAGAGGAGTCCAAGAACCGACCCTACAATTGGGAGATAGTGGTGAACGTGTCAGCGAGACTGCCGGACACAAAGCTGATCCGCCTAGTGAGCACCCTGCCAAGCAGACGGCCACCGCCAAAAGCGTGAAAGAGGCAGGGAATGTGGGAAGGGAAAATGATGGGAATGGTACGCCCACATCATTGCGCTACTCTGGTTTTATGTTTCTAATGTCTGCACGCACGGTTTGCATTTTATATATGACATGCATACTGTATCTTGTCTTGGACATGGTAGGCGGCGGCGGAAGAGCCCTACATCACAAGACAAGACCAGTTGGAAGCGAAGCCCGAGAGAGGAAGAGGGAGAGGGCGAAGGAGAGGAAGGGGCAGAGGCCAAGACACTGGAAGGGGAAGGGGCAAAGATGCAGGTACTAGTGGCAGAGGGGGCAAAGGTCAGGGGAGAAAGAGATCCACTCCAAGGGCGGGTCAATCCACTCACAAAGAAGATGATGATGTAAGTTGGTGGGATGATACTTGGACCACGGAGTGGGGCCATCCTGACGAGGAGTGGGGAACGGATGGATGGGGAGAAGCAGGATACTTTTGGGACAGATACGCGTGGTTGGAGGGAGAAGAGGCCCTAAGAAGTCTGTCAGGTGAGGAACGCAGCAACAAGAAGAAGCAAGACACAAATACAAAGAAAAAGGAAACGAAACGAGGAAAGTTAGCGGTTGATGGCAATGCTTCCGAGCGAAAGAGGAGCGGGGGTCAGCGAACAAAGGAAAAGGCAGAACCTGCAACAAGTTCTACAACAAAGAAACGGAAACAGGAAACACAGAACGCTGGGAATGGGCATGATGATCAGCAGAGAAGGAAAACCAAGAAGAAGTCGATGCAAGATGTAGATGCAGCCCAGAGCAATGAAGACGACATCAAAGCGATCAGAATGTACCACAAAAAATTCAGTCAAGATGAGAGCACTGAGGCAACATCGGAAATCAAGGAGTTGATGAAGAAAAAACTCAAATGGAACTCTGAGTCTGAATGCAGGCTGAACGCTTACTGGAAGGTACCGGCGTGTGGTGTTACCTCAAAGTCAAAGAAAAAGGACATTGCACGCTTTTCCTTTCCGGACATTGTCGATCTCAGTTACATGTCTGCCTTGGCTCTTTGCATGAAGTGTGCACACTTGTTTGCCACTTGGGTGCACTCAGTGGTTGCTGTTGCATTTCTCTCACACTGACGTTCTAAAACAACTGCTCGAAGGTTTCTGCATGAAGGCCCGTCTAAAGTATTTCTTGGAGTTTATGATTTCCCTACTTTGCCCCTCACCTGAACCGTTGTGCCACTGCCTTTGGCCTATAGGCAATTGCTGTCGACAACGGCTTGCACGAGGGCACCATTACACCGGACGATTTGTGGAAGGACAGTGAGTGGTGCGCTAGTTACTCTGCTTCTTTGCAGGTGTCAGCACGGGCTGTCCTGGATGACACCAGGTCGTAGGCTGCGGATGTTACATTGTAGTGATTGCTTTGAATTTTGTCACAAACATCTTTGGCCAGCTTGCAACATTGCTGGCTGTCTGTGCCAACAGTCAAGGTAACATACCTTGGCCTCACACACTTGTCAGCTTAGGAGTTGCGCAACTATGCACGCAGTTCCAAATGAAATGTGTCAATTTAATATTTGTTGGTCTAAGGCACATATAGTAGTCACGCGTGCACTCCGAAACGATCAAAGTCTTTAAAGAAAACCAAGGCCAAAGTTTTTTGGGATGGATTTGGGTGAGTGCAACTATACCTGGAATCAGGTGAGCAAATTTGTTAAGTTCTTGTTTTTGTG